AAGATAAAACGGAGTGTAATAGTGCGTAAATAAAACGACTATCGTGGAGTAGATGAGTGATATTTCAGTGACAGGTAAATTGAAAGATCTGCAAGCTTAAAATTCGTAAGACAACCTAACATGTAATATCTCTCACGAATCTCTGTAGGGCCTATGGGGTAGCCTTGATGTTTTGCCGTCATTCTGAACTTTGGAAAGATGATTTACAAATGTAAAAGGTAATAATCATCGAAACTGCTGTAATATTTTCTAGCTGTTTGGAATTTTTTCCTTTGATGCAGTTTCTTAGTAAGTTTAAAGGAAACTTTATTCTAACTACATACAGTCAAGCACTGTAACCTGAACATCACAAAATCCCTACAAAAAAACTTGTTTAATAATAAATGCTTTAAAGATATGAAACATAAGTGCATCTCCCATATTCTTCATAGCCACAAGTAATTCACTGAGGATCTCAGAATGTCTTAGTGATCGGAAAACGAATAATTATTAAGACTGATATAACTTAAATAACAGTTGTAGTAGTTGTAGGACACAACTGCTAACTGCCATTCGACAGAAGGCTGACACTAATTTTAAGCAGTCTGACATTTTAGAAGGGCACCTATACTATTCTTCTTGCCCCCAATGCACACTGATATCAACATAATCTGATGCCATGTTATGCAATGAGCGATTACGGTGCCCCGAAATTCCATACGACAATGTAAATTAAACTAGTATCAAATCGCCTGATCAATTTTAACTAGGAAATTCATCGAAATGGATATAATCACCAGGAAATTCAGCAGCCTGTCTCATTCATCGCATGATCTCTTCTATGTGTTATGGAATATTTCAGTCATCACGGATGATAACAAAAGTGTTTAACATCCTCAAAACGTACATCTAACTTATGTCTGTAGGCTATTTCTCTTCCAAATGCCCAATTCCCATAGAATATCTTCTATGACAGCAACCATTGCCTGTAGTCAATTTACAACCTTAAGATCTACAACAACTCGCAAATAAAAAAGCTTTAAGGCTGTAAATGAAAATAATAGTCTTTCCATGATAATTTCTGATAAAGGATGACTCTTTTTAGTAATAAACCGTCTGGGATACCAAGACAACTTTACCCATTAATACGAACACAATACTGAAAAATATTGCTTTCTTCGATTACAGAAGCCTAAATCGAGTCAAATTTAATCTATTTTTGCAAAACTGAAGTATTATAAAGCTTCTATAGGCTTGAACGCGATAACCCACACAGTGCGCGATAATATATCGCGATAACGTTTATCCTCACCCAATAACTGCAGGATAAACGGAAATACCAATATGTAAACGAATGGCTACGGAACTGCAATCCGACATGGCCGACTAACTTGGACGAAAATGACCTTTAGCGTCTCGCTCCACCAATGACCTTGGACGTGACGGACAACTTCAGCCGTCAAATCTAGTTAACTTGAATCATGATTTTACGGCCGCCAGGTCTAAACGCTTTCGTTGCCCTGTGGTTTTCTACAAATTATTAGTTTACAGGGTGTTGACGTTAGGACTCCTAAAAGTTTCGAATATTGGTCCAGTTGTTGAGCGCCATCGTTAGATATGCTTGAGGTGAAAAGAGTATATGTAAGTGGTGGCTCATTGACTGTAAAGCTTTTTCTAGGAACTAAAAAATGTCATCAATAAAGGTGATTGCGATATCCATGATTTTGAAGAGCTTCTATTATGTTTACTTCAGTTTGTATGTCGTTCATATCTTGATTGCGATAAGTTTTATTTGTTAGAAACCATCTGTGCTGAAGTTAGATTTTGGCAAATACATTATTAACCATGTTGTTCGGGGTTTTCCTGATATAGATATAATGAAGATAGTATCACTGATTATTGACGGTAAGTATATTGTTTGTTAGCTAATCTCAAGCAGATATTCTCGTATTTTTGTCGTTACTTCATTTCGAAAACAACAAAATTGACGGTAGCGTGAATTTTATTTACATTTTGAGACATTTAGCAACTAATTTTGGCCAGCTTCAGTTGGTTTGTTTGTTTGGTATTCTTGAATACCTTTTGTCAGCTGAAGTGGTATGTAGCTTCGTGTCTGTCAGTCTTTCCATAAGTTCTTTCATCATCGATCGCCTCAAAACGTGCTCATCTGATTTCTTACTACAGGCGGTTGCCTTGGCACATAAGTGGTGGTCGTTCGTTTTAAAAAAAGTGCGGAATGAGGTATGTATTCGTTTTACTAGGAGCACAAATTTTAGAAAGGTGTCTAATCGTACTTCAGTTAAATTGGTAATTATGGTGATTGTTTCTTTCCAGAATAATAATGAGAAAGTAGTAGGTAGCTCTTCTGTTTTCTAAGAGAACTTCTACTTCGTTTATTTTAAGTCGTTCATTTCGATGATTAACGATAAGTATGTTTTTGGGCAGATAGATAAGTGTTTTCATGAGGAGTCTTACTAACTAAACTCTGGGGATCTGATATCCTTTCACCTGTGTTAGTTTCTTTCGGTTTTCATCAGATTGTGAGATTGATTTCTGTCTTCACCACAGTTAATTTATCTTATTATTTGGGTTACTTTGTCATAACAAGGTAAATTATTCAAAGTAAGCATTTTAAATACTTTCAAGCACTTTAAGCATGTATTGAAGGGTGGTTTGAAGATCAAATATTGAGTGATATGTACTCATTATAGCGAATTAGATGGTCATTGAAACTACTTATCAATCACAAGTGTTCATTTTGGAAATTCTACAAAAGAATTTTTGTGTAAAAGAAAATTCGGAAGTTCAATGAATCACATAATGAGGTTAAAATGATAATATCGTGAATTTATTTTTATTTAAACACATTTCTTGTATCGTGTCGCACAGGATAAAATAACAGTATTTGTGTGGTATGCAAAGTGGCTGACGAACAAATAAAGTAGAAATGACAAAGCGTACTCTCTAGTTATATTCAGATGGACAGTCATCATTTCATATTACTTATAGAAATTTAGAATAAAACAGGAAATTAGAGCTTATCCTTTATCATTGTTGATTTTGAACCATATATTACCATATCTTGAGCTCACCGACAGTGGTGACTCATGGAGAAGTGCTGACACAATGCAACCAATCTTCAGAGTTGCCACCTCATAGACTGATCACTGCTTTTTATGACCAGTCCTATGGTTAGCAAATAGTGATCGCTATGGAAGTATCTCAGATGATATTCAAAGCACATGTCTATTCGACTGAATTTAGTTTTCAGAGGTGATGTCTTTAAAAAGATGATCACATTGGGATCTGTAACTTATAATTTATAAATTTTCATTTGATTTTCATTCCAGCATTATTGTAGAAGGTCTTTTGTTTGTTATTTAGCTGTTCGAAGAATATATAGTACAACAAGCACAGACCATTTTCAAGGCTGTTTGGCTGCATGCTGGATCGGCAATCGGAGTTGTACAGAAATCTGTCTCGACTTTTTTCGAATATGTCTTTCGCACAGCTCTAACGCTAAGCAAAAAGGATCCCAAATTCACCTTACTGTATAAAAACATAGTAAATATTGCGATCATGTATCATCCTATGGATACGGTGGATCATTTCAAGTCACAGAAAAACTGTCTCCATTGTTTAATTCCTGCTGCAAAGTGCTTAGGATTTCTTGAAGTAAATCACCATACTATCCTAAGGTCTTTTTAAAATTGTGTTGTTTCAAAAGAATGCCTATAAAGAGTTCGAGAAACCATTCCGATTTAATCATATTTCAGAATTCGTTATAGCTTCCTCAATTACCATAGCAAATGAAAAGATCAGAAATTACATAGTGTCTTTCTGTTTTCGACATAGAACTTTGCACCGATGTGCGGCAGTTCAAGTCGCCACACTCCATGTAGCACACAAAGCAAGAGAAAAAAGTAGAAATGCATAATATAAACAGTAAACAGAGGTGTGAGACAAAAGAATAGTAATAACAAAGAACAATATAGTTTCAGTGGAAATCATAAGTCATTGAGAACGATTTTGAGCCATATCACCAATTGTTTTCTGCCATTTTTTTTTACCGTCCCGAGGACTCCAACCAGGAAGTCTACACCTTCCTACTTGGCTTTAACTACCTGTTGTAGATTTCATTGACTGGTACCATGTTTTGGTGTGACCACCACTGGCTCTTTTCCGACCTGACCCTATGTCAGCTGACATTGCCCATTGTTGAGGAAGGCGATGGCTAGGCATGCATGCGTAACACATGTCCTTACCATCTCAATGGATGTAACTTCACAGCCTCGTCGATTGATTTCCCCTCCTTATCTAGCACTCAACCTAAGCCTAATCTCAATATTGCTCACCCTATTATACCACTTCACACGGGAGATAGAACGCAGGCACCTATGATCAAAGACAGCTAATCTTTTCATGTATTCCACTCTCAATGGCCAGGTCTCACAGCTATAAAGGAGGATGGAGTGAACTTCTGAGCACTACACACGCCCTTTGATGGATAGACGGCCGGATATCACGTCTACGCCAGAGACGGCGTAAACTGGTATATGGGAAACTAGCCCTCTGTATCCGTGCTGAGATTTCGTCAGAGATCAACCCGTTGGGGCTGATGGTACTTCCCAAATAAGTGAAGCGGTCAACGTGCTCTACCACTTCACTCCCTATTTCTAAACTAGGAGTCATTGTAGTCCAGTCCTGTAACATCATCTTGCATTTGGCGGGAGCGAATCGCATACCAAACATTCGTAGATTGCAGCTCAAGGTGTTCAGAAGACTCTGCATTTTGTCAGCGTCCTCGCCTAGGAGGACTATGTCGTCTGCATATTCTAAGTCAACGAGATTATTCCATGGTAGCGAGTCAATCCCTGAGTCTGTGAAGTAAGTTAGGGTTAAGTCCATTAGTACATCTACAATGAAATTGAATAGAAATGGGGATAATGGGCATCCGTGACGGACACCACTAGTCGTCACCACTTCAGATGACAACCCGCCGTAAGCTCTCACCTGGCTGCATGAGTTCGAGTAGAGTGAGTGCCTTGATCAGTGCAACGTATTTTCTCGGCATTCCTTTCACAGCCAAGCATCGCCAGAGTACCTCTCGGTCGACAGAATCGAATGCCGCCTTTAGGTCAAGAAATATAACGATTGTTGGACGCCGGTAAGAATGCCTGTTCCAGAATCTGTCGAAGGCTGAAGATATGATCAATACACCCCCTTCCTGATCTGAAGCCTGCCTGGTTCTCTCGTGTTTGTTCCTCCCGAGCACCACTTAGTCTACGCACTATTATTAAGCCTAGTACTTTAGATACTATATTAGTCAAGCTAATCCCTCTTTGATTATCACAGGAAGACTTGTCTCCCTTCTTGTATATGGGGATAATCAGTGACTTACACCAACCCGATGGGACTTCCTCTGATTTCCAGACGCTGCCTAGTACCTCAGTTGATGCAGACAGTAAACTGTCTCCACCGTACTTAAATACCTCTGGAGTCAATAAATCAGGTCCCGCTGCTCTGCCTTGTTTCAGACTAGTGACAGCTTTAGTAACCTCAATTAGGTACGGAGGACCTGTGTCGTAGTGTTTGTTCGTATTTAGCAGCTTTCTCACCTGTTAACTATTTCGGCTTGTCTGCTTCCTTGTGTAGTGACTAGCAAATGTTTCACTTACTGTTGTCACCCGTTTGTATAGACTTGCGTAAAGCAGTGGATCTTTGGTGTAGAAATGGTTTGGAATGTTGTCATGAGAGTCGACTGAAGAAGAGCGAGACTGAAAGCAGCTAGTCTAAGATCATAGCCTAATGTTAAAACACTGACGGTGTGGATTTTAATTGTAGCAGTGCATTTTCCAAGGGTAGCCAACTTATCCAGAATTCCTACCTCCCTGTTCTTAAAGTTGAAATGCCTGATCCTTGAATTAAGGCATGCTTTTACTCTATTGGATCCCTCTACCGACTTTTTCAAAGTCTAGAACAAAGCATATCTGCACTAAGTTTACTTCCCTGCCTTACTTCAGGTAGATTTCCATCAGGCCGTTGAAATTAATTTCATTAGTTGATTAGATTTCCTGGTAGTAGTCCAATTTCTTTCACATACTTAAAGGCGATATTGCACAAAGACAATATATTACTGTGTTGATCTTGTACTTGCAATGCTTGTTAGTGATTGTTCTTTTATTTCCCATACATACCTAGACTTTTTAGATGTTTGGTCACTAATATTGGTTGTGCTGTCGTCAGGTTTTCTTCAGGCGTTAATCCTGGTAACCTCTACAGTTGTTAGTGGATTACAGAAAATCAGTTTGACGTGAAACAATCATAATTCAGTGTAGATTAGAAGTGTGACAGTTAGATGTATTTGTTACTGCATTGATTTGAGACTAAATTGGTTATAGCGGTTGGTTTATCAAATTGGCAAATAGGTTGTCTTGAGTTAAACCCGAACATGTTTTACAAAACTGGTCACATATTGGCATTATTTTTGAGAAGTATTGTGGCAAGATGGTTGTAGTTATTTCCTTAAAACTTCACCAGGTATTTGATGCTGACATCTTACCATATATCCTATATTTTCCTCCTTTAATTGAAGGTTTTTAAATGTAACCCTTTTCTGGTATGCAACCTCTTGATAGCTACTGGATATAATCATACATCTAACTTAGCATGTGATTTGATAAATATGATCTTCGAATACAGGTAAGTTGTAAAAGAATTTAATCGAAAGTTATGTATCGACAAATTTCTACAAGTTATGTTCCGATCAGTTGCATCATGGCTTTTAGAACTTTTACGGGAATTTTTCACATAATTTTATATTGGTGCTCTTTGCTTTTTTGTCCAATACATAACTGTGTAAGATCTGTAGATGTATCAGCAATTGAAACATTTCATCTCATAACTTTATAGTTGCAGTAATTTAATAGTAAAAGTATTCAGTCCGATAGACTTTTTGTACAAACTTCTTGATGTGTATTTGTATTCCAGATATTTCATGTATTTGAACAAAACAACAACTACAGAATAAAATGGTACCATATTTTATTTCGTCGCCTTCTCTTCAGCTGCTTACAGGGCAAAAACATTATTAAATGTATCTGCAAAAACAATTTAACATACTTGCACAAAGCTCATTTAAACAGAAATCAATCGATCAATATACACATAGGCTAATAATATATATATATATATATATGCAGCTGAAGAGAAGGCGATGAAATAAAATATGATACCATTTTATTCTGCTGAAACTGTAGTTGTTGCTTTGTTCAAATTCATTAAGAGGAACAAATGTATGCTATTTCATGTATCATTTATTACCCATATTGTAATCATATCGTTCCGAAAAAGCTGACCATCATTTTCAAAAATTCATTCTGTATGCATGTTTCACGATTCAGTGCACGAGTTTATATTTAATTCGATTTAATTAGTCCATTGACTACCAGTGGTTGACTTCTTTGTTAACTAAGCGCTTTGTATACACCTAATTAATTACATTGTGGTCTTTATGTCAGGTCACAAGTCTAATCTGATGATAGTGTTTAGTTGTCTGCACATCAGTGAACGGTTTCAAATAGTGTATATGCTAAGAACTATTGATCCACTTTCTGAATTTTCCTTATTAGGATATTTTCTACTGATAACTGTCTATGTCTATTACTCTTTCAGTAAGTCTTTTCTGTGTAAGTTTATTTTTTATGTACTTTTTCCCTTGAAATGAACAGCAATTTTATCAAGGAAAACTCCCCGGCATTCTATGATCATAATGTAGTGAAGCCTATTGTTCAGTTTATGTTAACTGGTAACTTAGATTGTCCAGTATCAAAAGAACCTAACAGTTGTTATATTCTACTGGTCAATAAATCAGTGCAGGTATCAGTGTATATTGTTTATCTAATGCAAATTTCTGAAGCATAAATTGTTTTTTTATTCCTTTGCATTCCTAGTGAAACATAGGGCTTCAAACTAGAGCTTTGAAGTTTCGGTGGCAGTGGTGTTTATTTTACGAGATAGCGTCGCTAGCCTCATACCCAGTCTTCGCTCTTTACAACTCTTATTACTAGCCTAGCGAGGTAAAAGAGTGATCCGGCCGGGGATCGAACCCCGAACGACATGCGTGGTTGGCGAGCATCCTACCATTGTGCCACCAACGCTCAGGCATAGATTGTATTGTATATCTATTACTTATATAATCATGTATAATCTAACATTAAAATTTCCAGTGTGATAACTAAGCTTAGTGACTTGAGTAAATTATATTTCGTGTTAGAATAAACGATTTGGTCCATAAGAAACCGTGTTAGGTAATTGTTGCTGACTGCAATACTGTTTGATAAAGACTGTGATCTATAATTTTATGAACACACACTACTGATTATTACTGAGAAGAAGACCCGTCCTTTTCAGTGAACTCTAACTTCTAGTACAGCGATACGTCTATCGTTATTGTAGCTATTTTAGAAACACGATGGTTGAACAACATCCATAAACTAGAAAAATATCAAAAAGAAAACAAAAGAAAGACTTTGGATCAGGAGGTATGAATGTGCCTGTTTAGCTGATGATGATAGTAGGAATTTGAAATTACTTATAAGGTTTATTGGCTATCATTTGTGATACCTTCTTGTTGTTAACTGTGTGTTATGGTACCTATTGGCTGCTAATGTGATGTCGAATATCCCATCGTCCACTTCAACATAGCAGGCAAAATTAGAGGAAGGAAAATTGGAAGTTTTAAGTAACGGGTGTGAATGTGCTTACGCAAAACTTCATATTGAAGTGTAAAATCCTCAGGATTTTCAATAAAATATTCAATTTTTATTATTTGTTTGGTGAAGTTCAACCAATCAACATTCATATTGCAAGAAAAAACCTCACTAGATGAATTCAACATCATTTAATTCTTATATTATTTCCGTATTCATTATACTATGGTATGAATATGCACATATCTTCTTTGATTGGTTGGAGGATTTCATCATGAGCTGACATCAATGAGAGAACCATTGGAAAACTTGGGAGTACTGGACAGCTGTTTCGTCCTAGTTTGGGAAGTCTCAAACTAGGACGAAACAGCTGTCCAGTACTCCCAAGTTTTCCAATGGTTCTCTCATTGATGTCAGCTCATGATGAAATCCTCCAAATAATCAGACGAAAAATTCCCTACAAAACCAATACTCGAAAAATATATCTTCTTTCTTGTAATGTGTATTAATTGAAAAACCAAGGAATATCACAGTAGCATGTGTCCTAATGCTGTAGATGATCTAAGTTTCTGTATTTCAAATAACCATCATGCTGAAAGGTAGTCAATTTTATTTTATTTTTTAATCCTCCTTTCAACATATTTTTACAGAACACGAATTGGGACAATTTTGTCAATGGTTGTTTAACAAGCAAGTTCACTTTGTTACCTAGTAGTCCAGAAATGTTAGAAAGTATTTCACCTTTACCAGCCTGCCAAACTTATGCAGGTTTATGCAAAAGTGACCTTTTAATTGATCAACTACTTGAATATATCCCTTCCGTTTTTCTCAATTCAAAGTCTAATCAATCCGCAGTAATGGTTGAAAGGAACTTATTGTTTGTCTGGTTGAGACTGTATAATTTGAGAGATTATTTCGATTTGTCTTCTTCGTTACAGCAAACGGTGAGAGATTTATGGTGTTAATTAAACATCGTTGATTCACTTCAGTTATTTTTTTGTTGCTTCTTTTCATTTTTGACTAGGTGAGTAGCAAAATACTCTACAGACTGTTTTTAAGGATGTATTTGTCTTGTCTGTAACATAATCACAATCAGTCAGTTAGAAAAAGGACTTTCTATTCCTTGCTATCAAGGTGGCTGCTGAACCAGTCGTTTGTTAAGTTAATTAGCGGTTAGATCAATGGTTTCCTCAAAACATTAACCGTATTGTAAACACACGTGGTTTTCGTGAAACCAAAGGTCTTATCTTTCGTTTGGCTGACAAAAATTAACCGGCGACGTAGTTTTATAGGAGAGTTGACTGTATAGCACGTTTTCTTGGTGGGTCTACGCAATTTCTGGGGCTTCGAAAACAGTGATTTATTTTGAATAGACACTAGATTTTCGGTACATTTTATTCATGCACATAGTTATAGAAACACAAGGGTAAGTCTTTTATGGCCACTTTGCAGTTGGAACAGAGTTCGAACCACATAGGAATCAATTGGATAAACCTGTGAACAGTAAATTTATAGTAATAAAGCCGGATACATCTTGTGACACCCTGGTGCTAATTCCTGTGTGCGTAGTGTGCATTATATTTTTGTGTAATTACACTAAGCTAATGTAAAGAAATTGTTTTCTGTCTTTTCATTATATGTTAAATTATTATTACTATCATTATTTATTCCTTTAGTTTCCGAGTGTAACATTCGGCTTTAAGCTTCAATTCTAAATCTCTACTAGCAATAGTTTTATTTTTACGAGATAGGGTTGTTAACTTCACTCTCAGTCTTCTCTCCTTACGTGCGCTTGCCGCCGAGTTATCGAGGTTTAGGAGTGCCTCGGTGGGGGAGTCTAACCCTGAACCACGCACGTGTGTGATTGTTGAGCATTCTAGCATTGAACCACCGATGCACTTTACTGTTCATCTATCAAGATTAACTGAACAATTTATTTTGTCTTTGTGTTTTAGGTTCCTACGGTTTTGGCTAAAAGTGCTATGCATCATGATGAGAGCATACGTGTATTGGCATTAAGTGGAATATCCAAATTTTTATGCAAACTCATACGTACAAAATGTAAAGAAGGCAATGATAAAAAGAAGTCTGTAGAATTCATGCTATCCGATGTACCAAATTTACAAATATTTATGGATACCTTTTTAAACTGTTGTACTACTTTTAATAATTGTTCAAATCCAGCCTGTCGTAAACAATTTCAACAAATTTTTTCTAGCCTTACTGAATCTATACGCATGATGTGTAAATCTGTGTGCATCAACGATACAGAATTATCTCTTTTGTTAGACAAATGTAATGTTAATAATAACAATAATGATGCTAATAATAAAGTGGTATTTTACCTACAAGATACTGAAATAGATTCACAAGTATTTTATCATTTACCAAGTAAATTGGTCAGTGAAGATATTATGCATCAATCATGTGACGATACAGCAGTTGTACTCTGTTTAGGTAAGTTATTTTAATTTCACTATTGACAAATAGATTTATGTAAGTAAAAATAAATAAATTGAATAATAATAGCAACATTAATATCAAATAATATTAAGTTGTATTTTTTAAAATTCTTTTACGTTCGCAGTGGAACATAGAGACTTAAAGTTTCGGTGGCAGCGGTGTTTATTTTTACGGAATGGCGTCGCTAGCCCCATGCCCAACCTTGCATCTTTACTAGTCTTATTACTGGCTTAGCGAGGTAAAGGAGTGAGTCGGTCGGGGATCGGACCCCGAATGACATGAGTGGTCGGCGAGTAATCTACCACTGTGCCACCTACGCACACATTAGGTTGTATAGTTTTATTTTATTATTTAGGTTACTCTACGGAGTACAGTCAACCTCATAAAGTTTGTGGTAGTTTATAGATGTTGATTCGTTCTAGGGCATCTTTTTAGACGTCTTTATGCAATTGTATGCATCTTATGTATACACCATTTCTATTAAGTGGAGATGTGGCTCATTGGCCTCAACGTTCGACTTTCAGCTGATAGGGTCAGTGTTCGAGTCCTGTTCCGCTTACTTCAGCTTGAGTAGCTGGGCTGTGTATCATCAGCCCTCAGACAATAGATGTGGTTCTTGCAACCTAGGCCAGCGAGAATCTGTGCCGTGTTAGTGAAATTATCAACTCAACTTTTTGTGATTTTGTTTTAAAACTTGACTGGACAATAAATGTCTTTATAGGGGAATTCTTCGCCCGTTTGTTCTGGTTGTGAAAGAGTTTTTAGTTAGTGTAGAGTATTCAATACATCGTTGCCCTGTTACATGAATGTCCTGACAAAATGTGGTGTTTGAAATATTTTAACTGACACTTTCGGAGGACTTTCGTTATGAGTTATTCATGTATTAAGTCCAAATTTTTGTCGATAAAACGCTCGCCAATGCAGATTAAAGTGACTGAAAAGTTACACTAATTCTAAGGAAGTCATATCTCAATCTGTAATTTAGTTCTAAAAGCTTCAATCACTAGATTTTCCATTGGTCATTGTCTGCACTTCCATCAAGCAGGCTAGTAGTTCGTGGTTTGTTGGTTTGACCTCCGCCTCTGTTTACTAACGTCACGTCGTTATTTTAAGCATTCTTTTCATCCTCTTGTTGGTTTCGCATTTTCATCTTCACAGTAAAGTGCAACAGCTCAAGCTGATACTCCTTTTTTATTTCGATTTGAATTATCAAGTGTTATTATTAAACATTCTTTGATGTATGCAAATGCCAAAGTGGTAATCGCATATATCTCATTGGAATCCTTTTAATTGGCATCAGTGTGTGTTGATAATTATTATGCTAAGTTAAAGAGGAGCGAAGTAGTAGAGCGTGTTGACCATTTCACTCATTTGGGAAGTTGTATCAACCATAATGGACTGGTTGCTGACGAAATATCATTATGGTTACAAAAGGCCCGTGTGTCATTTGCCAAATTACGTCATCTCTGACGTAGATATGATATCTGGCTATCGATCAAAGGACGTGTGTATTGCTCATCAGTTCACTTTGTCCTCCTTTGTGATTGCGAGACATGGTCATTGAAAGCGGGAGATACGAGAAGTTTAACTGTCCTTAACTACGTAAGTCTACGTTCTGTCTCCCATGTTAACCGACATAAGACTATGTTGGAAAAGAATTGTAGATTAACAAACTAAAACCCAGCATCAGACTACAAAGTCATTGATACTTGGTTTGGGCTAGTCACAGAAGGAGGTGTAGGCTGGAGTCCTCTGGATACTAAGAATCAAATAACTAGGGTCTCGTAATCATTCTCAGTGGCACAAATGCATTCCCGTATCCACTAAACTATCATTTTTCTCCATGCTACTGTTATTTCTTCCTCACATTTCTGTTTATTATAGTCATTTTGGATTTCTTTTGCTCTCTTCTGTCTACATTCGTGTGCTACAAAGAGTGTGGCAACTTGAACTACCGTACTGCTGTTCAGTATTCTATGGCGAAACTCGGCCAATCAGTTATTCATAATTGGTTTGTCAATTTTTAGCGAATGGATTCCTAGACAGTCAGGATTACAGACAGTCACATATTAGGTATAGCTTACAGCCGAGTGCAGACACCAACAGATTTCGTCAAGCTACCGTAGAAATTTTTTATGTTACTTTTATGTTATGACTTTCTCTAGTCTGCAAAACACTAAAAGCTTTTGCTTATCAGAGTGATGAAGGATTGAATGAATGAATTTAAGACTGAATATAGTAATGAGTTGAATAAATAAATTTGATTTTTTTCAAAAATTTTTTTTGTTCCAGCTAAATTGATACGATTTATCAGTACACTATGCCGTTCGACTTTAACTCACAGAGGGATAAATGATCGGACTTCAAATAAGAAGGTATCTGCGTGCATAGTAGAGACTTATTTTTGGCCAGGAATGAGTTATCAACGAGCAAAATTTCAACTAGATGTCATTGAAACTGCATTGGGCTTACTGAATTTATCATCTACTGGTCCATGGAATAAAAAATTCAGCAAATGGAGAGCTGACTTTGGTAAAGGTAAATAATATGAAAAAAAAGATTTTGTATGTATGTCCTTTTTTATCCTTTAGCTTAATTTATCAAATATAATAATTTTAATTGACTGAATTAACATTGGAAATTATGTTTTACTTTTAAAGTCTATTAAGATCAAATCGTGTTTGATTTCAAAGTAAATGTGGGTAAAAATTACGCCAAGGAGCTTCCAACTGATTAGATGAATGTAGAGACTTCAATTAACATTAAGAATTCAATGGTTATACTGACCATCATTGGTGCATAGTACGTTTATTGTAAACTTTCAGATTATGTTTGTTCAGCAGTCAACTTCAGGGGTTTGTAAACAAATTGATTTTATTGTTTTATAATCAAATAACAATAATAAGCAAGTGTTGAATTCTAGGGATTTTATTGATTTCAAAGGCAATTTCATCATAAACCAATAGGCACATACCATAATTGCAGACACTAGCCGTCGACTTATTAAGTGCGATTTGGGTAGCCTGTATGTTATCACACAGGGGTCACACATGTTATCACATACACACACTCTACTCAAACTCACGTAGCTGTGTCAGGGCTTATGGGGAATTGTCATCTGAATTGATAACAATCAGTGGTGTCCGTCAAGGATGTCCACTTTCCCCTTTTCTGTTTAACTTCATCATAGATATGCTAATGGAAGTATCCTTAACTGAACTTAACGACTTAGGAATCGACTTGTTACCAGGGAATAGTCTTATAGACTTAGAATATGCAGACGACATAGTCCTGTTAGGGGAGGACGCTGACAAAATGCAGAGTCTTCTGAACACCTTGAGCAGCAATCTCTGTATTTTTGGCATGCGATTCGCCCCTGTGAAGTGTAAGATGCTGCTACAGGACTGGACTACGTCAACTCCTTGCTTAGTGATAGGGAGTGAAGTGATAGAACATGTTGACCACTTCACCTATTTGGGAAGTTGTATCAGCACCAACGGATTGATTGGTGACGAAATCACAGCACTGATCCAGAAAGCTCGGGCTGCTTTCGCTAACTTACACCGTCTCTGGCGTAGGCGTGACATCCGTCTGTCAACCAAGAGACGTGTATACTGCTCAGCAGTTCGTTCCGTCCTTCTCTATGGCGGTGAGACGTGGCCATTGAGAGCGGAAGACATGAAGAAATTGTCTGTTTTTGACCACAGGTGTTTACGATCTCTTTCTCGCGTTAGGTGGTATAATAAGGTAAGTAATGTTGACGTTAGGCGTAGAGTGTTGGGCAAAGAGGGAAAATCAGTCGAAGAGGCTATGAAGTTACATAGATTGAGATGGCTAGGTCACGTGCTGCGCATGCCTAGCCATCGCCTCCCCCGACGGGCATTACTAGCTGATATAGGTGCAGGTTGGAAAAGAGTAAGTGGTGGCCAAACAAAAACATGGCCTCATCAATCCATGAAATCCCTGACAGTTAAACTGAGTCAGGTAGGGAGATATAGACTTCCGGGTTGGGGCCCTCGGGACTCTAAGAATCAATGGCTGGAGACAATAGGTGACATGGCTCAAAATCGTTGTCAATGGCTTACGCAGATGTATTCAATCTCTGTAATCTTTCATATTCCTTTCTACCATTACTCATTCTGTTTCACTCTTATACTTATCTAAATTCTATTGATTCTCTTCTCTCATTTTCCTGTCTACCTTTGTGTGCTATTTGGAACGTGGCAACTCGAACTGCTGCACTTCGGTGCCAAGTTCTATGTTGAATCCAGCAGCATCAGCAACACAGTAAGTTGATGTCATCTGGTAAAACTTGAGGTCGAAAGGTTTCTTTCCAGGCAGGAGATCTTCAATACTAGAACACACGTCCTTCAGAGCAGTTTCCAAAATATCATCGATGGTGAAGTTAAACAGAAGTGGTGCGACTGGGCAGCCCCGTCTAACTCCACTGTTGGTCGAGAACCTCAGTTGTATGCATCACTCTACCTGGGGTTCTTCTGTATTGGGCCTTCAGGATAAGTGACAAAATCCTCAGGAACCTCTTCCTGTAACGAGAAATTCCAGAGAGCTGTTCTGTCCAATGAATAGAAGACAGTCCTAATATTAGTATATAAAACAACTATCGACCTGGAGTAACGGTGTTGTAGCAACTGACGAAGGTGAACGACTGATCAACTCATCCACAACCTGAACGAAGCGTTGCGTGCTATTCACGAATCATTTTCTCATGAGTCTTACGTAGTCTGCTGAGCAAGGCAGCTGGCAATATTTTACATGCAACTAGTGACAGATTAATTTCTCGTTGACTGCCATATTACGTAGACCATTTTCAAAGATAGACACGATAAATATGTCACTCCACATTGATAGAACGTCGTCACTTTCCTATACTTTCCTTAGCAATGTGGTTGTGAATAAAGTCTTTTCAGGAAGAGTTGGGAGTAAGTTGTCTGGGCTGGGTACCTTATTGTCGGTTAATACTAATCATAGATGACTGTAATTCCATCTCAAGTGCGTATCTTGACCACCAGGCATCATGATCCTTACGTGAGTACTGTTTGATTTAATGTGAAAGAGACTTATGCAGGTTTCTATATTCACTTTCCTCTGGAATATACCTAAAGGCGTCAAGAAGTTGCAAGGAGCTAGCAGGAAACCGGTGGTTTTTAGCGGGATGCTCTTCTAGGCTTCAAGAAGTTTCATTCACAATTTTCATGGCGTCTTGTAGGTGTAGTTAGTGTACGTCAGTACTATCTAAGAGGTTGGTATCTAGTCTTGAGTGTAGCTCGATTCGATACTTCTCTGAGGTAGCAGGTGCTACGAGTTTGTGATGAAGTTGATGATCACCACTAATTCCAAATCTCAGGGTAAACATGATGCACAAAAAAACATGTCCAAAATGCATCCAAGTGTCCCATAGGAAGAAGCGGCAGTCATGTATGCATCTACATCCACCTGTGCGGTGGACATTCGTGTCCGCCCTCTAACTTTTGTTTCAACACCCTATCGCTTGAGGGTGGGTACTGCTGCATAGTTGCAAACTAGATTCTCTAGCTGGTTTATGACGAAAATTACATTGAGATCGTTTATCTATTAATATTACCACCAAAATCCTGTTTTTTTTTCTCCATCAATTTTAGATTCACTGAATAATTTACAAACGTTAATTGATAATATTTCAATGAAATATAATTGGGATTTCAAATCTGTTAATTCATTAAGAATTTTGTTTAATGGACTTTTGTATTTAAGTTCAGATGTAAGTCAAATTATGTTGATGAAATTAGTAAACTTTATGATGAGTGTTTGGATGGTTTCAACGCATTATATTACATTACTTAATAGTAATCACTTACTAGATGTAATTAAATATCTCATGATATGTTGATTAAATTTCTGGCTAGATTTCATCTGTCACATTTTTAACTACTCACTATGTGAAATAACTCAGCATTGTTTTACACTGGATTTGGTATTAGCTGTGAGAAGCCATTCAGTAGAAAGAGTGCGACTTAGGTTTCTTGTTAATTCTTAAGAAGACTTGTATTCTCAACTAGATATAAACATGTATCGCTCAAAACCGAAGTCAAAAATCTTATCTGATAAATCTTCCCGGTAAGTGTTATAAAGCACAAAACCTACGTCTGTGTCTTCCTTGCAGTGGAATCCCAACATTTATTATGATGTCACTTACGTGATCAGTATGTATTCAGTAGGATTCCATATCCTTCACACGTCCGACATTGTACGAGTACATCGTGCAGTTAAATAAATAATTTGATTAAGTAGAGTCGACTTGGAAGGCTTACTCACTACCTGTTCATATTTGATAATGTTAAATTTATAATCCTTGAGATAATGGAATTTTACTTTATGCATTTTGAATTTTAATTCTAGCTACACCCGCAAATAATGTCTGTCATATATGATCATTGGATTGAAAGGAAAGATCTACTGATGGAGGTTCTTTATCCTACTGCGATTGATTTAGCCTGTGCATGGTGTGATACACCATGGTGTTCAGTATACCCGGCTGGTGCAAACATTTTATCATTCTGCTGCATCAAGTAACCTTAATCATTTTTGAACTTTATTTTTGTATATCATATTCAACTACTAACTTACTTGTTAGTATGTTGAGTAGGCTTTCAGTAATTTTCTCGAAATAACCTATTTATGTACATGTTTTTGTTTGATAAATCTTTATACATGTAGTGCAATGAGCAAGATATATAAATGGCAGTACATATTCTCAAGTAATAGGTATATGAGATACTGAAATATGTATAACTTTTGTTTTAAAGAAATATATATACATATATATATATATATATATATATATATATATATATATATATATATAACCTACGTAAGCTCAAACGTCGAATGACTTGACGATTTGAATTCACTCAACCATTATTGATAGATTTCCATAACAGTAAAATTTCTCGATGAAACAGAATACTGTTCGGTGAATTGAATCTCTCTGAATGAACTGGTTGCTCACGCTGTTTCAGCGCAGACACGGAAGGTTCGTTTGCACATGTGAACTTGCATCATGTGCACCCCATTCTTCATTAAACTGGCGGCCTGTTTGACACCTGGGCTATCTTTCCGTACATCTACATATTTGCATCTGATACATCATGTTTTCATTTTTCATTTTGACAAAATATGATCACAAATCGTATCAAATACAGTAATATCTGGCTACCTACCAACGAGTGTTCATACTTTGCAACAGTCCTCTTTATTCTGCTGTACGGCTACAAAACATGCCATGTGGAAACATAAGGTCTGTGTACCTTTATTCATTTGTCCTTGTCGAGAGGCAGAACATGGTATGTGATAGCGTTGCTAGACATAGTGTTTGGTGATGAAGAAAAGTCGATCGAAAAGACTGTGAAGGTGACGTGGGCATGTGTTACTTCTGTCGAGGTAATGTCCTCCTCGCTACTGATGAGCTAAAATTAGATGACGAAATGGTTTTGTATGGTCAGAACAAAACGTGACACCAACCAGGAGGTCATTGTTTATTGGTCTGAGACACTAATGGTGTCTTCAAGACACTAATATCAGTCTTACAGTCGTTCCCGGTAGTGTACGTGTATTCACCCCTTGTCATCCTTTAGGCCCTAAAAATCTAAAAACTAAATTTCGTTTCTTTTATCTCACTGTCGCGCCTACTCTTGTTTAGCGTAGTATCAGTGTGTTTCTGTTTCCTTATTTGTGCAATTTTTCGAACTGTGACAACCGGAATTATTTCTGTCTATCATTATCATCAGCTTTAAACTGTTTCTAAGATTCTTTGCCTCGATAATTTCCATTAGATAATATCTGTTGGGTCGTATCATCATTTGAACACTGGTCATTTTTTGATTAAGCCAATTTGATCCGTTTTTTATAGTTAGTTAAAATATTTTCATTTCTTTTCTTTTCATTTTGTATTAGCGGTTTGTGGGATGTGTCTTACTTTGGTTCAGATATGCGTACATGGATTTTGAATAAATTGAAAAGATTCTTAGAACTAGATGAGAAAAGAAGCAAACATCTCGGTGACAGTGATGACCTATTTCCGTTTAGTAATAAATTACTCTGGATTGTGCAGTTCCAATCTGGTCTAGGTAAGCAATGAAACAATCATCAGTGGTTGTGTTATGTCTGAATAGCTTATTCGAAGTCGTACGGTGCAATATTAAGGAACTTTATAGATCAGATCACTATGAAATAGTCATGCATAGGTGCCCAATACTCAGAATTGACAATTTGTTCGAGAGGTGAGTCACTAATATTCATTTTCTCAGACAAGTGAAGCTGGACATTACTGCAAAATACGCTTACAGACTGAAGGCTGTGTACGAACTATGCATCCTGCTTCACAGGAGAAATTAAACTGCTAAATACAGGTTGACGTAGTCAAGTGATTCCTTACAAGTTTGTGCACTAGCTTATGGGCAAAACCTGTTGGTTAATAATTAATAATGCTACTCGGATTGTTCAGACTTTGGTACCTGGAAAAGTGTATAAACTATGAAGTAGTTGAGTGAGAGTGAAGTGTACCAGCTAATAAGGCGTATTCATTTGACGGGTTCACCTCGTTGAAGAAGGAAAACACAAATGATTAAAGTTGTTGCTTACGGGAAGAAAAGGTTAAATTATAGTTATCACATTAGCATATAGAACCTAATCTCAGTATAAAAATGTCCAACAGTAATCACATGGATAAGTAGTTGTATTCAAATTTATTATTATTACTGTTATTCACTTGGGTTCCGAGTGGAACATGGGGCTTCAACAGGACATCTCCATTCTGTCCTGTCTTGTACAGTCCTTTTTATTTATCTTCACGATAGCCCATAAACTTTCCTCTCCTCGTCACACAATCTTCTCCATGTACAGATTTAAAGTGTGGCAATCTGGATCTGTATGTTCAATGAGGTAAGATCCTACATTGATAGAAATTGACTGATTGAAGTTATCAGTTGATGGTTTCTAGGATTTCTTCGATTTATTGATTTGGATGAAATTTATTGCTCTCATTTTTGTTGGCAAGCACGTTTTGACTAAGTCTGTCAGATAGTTACTGTCTATCAACACTTTGTACAGATAGTTTTCTGTAGATTTCCATAGACTCTGTGTTCTGCACTTGTTCTCACTTAGAATTTCCCGTGATGTACAGGACAGTTATTGTTGGAGTTTAGGTTTCATCAATGAAAGAGTGATAAACCATCCACCATTGCATATCTCTGACATCAAACAACATTCGTGCGTATATTATGTCACACATCGTGTCTGCTAGCTGAAAGTTTTTAGTACTGTTGTTAGTTATTCATTATTACTAAGTTATAAGTTTACATATTTCCCCGACACTATACACTACTACTGATTGCTCGAGATGAGTGGTTGGATACCGCTTACGTCAACCAGTAGTGCTTGCTAACTCAGCTTTCTAACCTGGGTCAAACTGATTGCACGACTGATGGATGAGCTCAGCTCTGAAAGAGTGAAACGGTTGTGAGTTTGTAACTTCACTTGGATCTAGCTAGTAAGCACTGCTGATTAATGTGAGTGCAATCCGACTACTCATCTCAATCAATCAGTAGTATATATAGCATCATGCATTAATGCTTGCTCTCTTGACTGCCATTTATAGCATCAAACAGATCGCATCTATTGAGATCTGAATAATTTCGGTTGTCAGAGGAAACTATGGTGAAATTTCACGTCGATGTATATAAATGGAGAATTTGATCTACATGTTTCCCCTTATTATTATTATTATTATTATTACTGTTATTATCAAACATTCTGTCTTTTTGTTACTGTTACAGGTTTCCTTCAAGCAGTTGATCAAATTTTATCTAATTGTTTAGTGAAGTTATCTAAAAATATAAAGAATTGTGTCCCTAATCAATTGGTTGAACCTGCATTGTATGAATTGATTAGTTGTGCAGAGTTACCAATTTTATGCTTACAGTTATGTAATCTATGTCTTTATTCAATGGGTTGTCAGACTTGTCAATTTAATGAAGATAATATCTTTATAACTGATTTCTCTAAAGGTAATCAATTGAAAATATGTTGTTCGTATTTTATTAGTAGCATTAAACAATAAGTAGGTAAATTGACTTCGTATAAATTGAAAACATTTCCTTCCCATAGTAAATTTAAAACAAGGAACAACTGTGAAAAAGCAGCACTTAGTGAGTTTGTAAATTGCGGCAGGACTCCTCAGTTGAATACTTCCAGACACATTAAAACATTGTGAGCATTATTTTCTTGTAGTTGTTGTATAGATATGAATGTTTCATCAGAAGAATGGGTGGTTTTATCGAAAATGATTGAAAATAAGCGAATTGTGTGGTATTAGGAGGTTGGTGGCAATCTTCAGAACGTCATAGATTCATGTTTCATGATTGTTGACAATCGTCACGCGAATCCACAACCTCGAAGAGACTGAGCCCACGTCATGCGGTGCTTCAATGAGTGACGTTGCAACCACACCGAAATAGCTCACTGGTAAATCATGAAACTTTTAACAAAGCTATGTACTCTTACTATGGTATATTTACATCGGTAAAAATGCTCATTTGATATTCACTAACTTACAGTTGCGAATAATTGCATTCTGCCATACTTTAAGACTGTGAGAAACATTCACTGAAAGGAGAAGGTATGTGTGCCTTTATTCAATTGTCTGTGTTCAGTGGAGCGACATGATAAGTAATAATGACGTTTGGTGCAGGATTTTGAATTTTCACCAATTTAGGTGACTGAGATATGTGATGAACCTGCCGAGCCATCTTCTTCCTCAATGAAATACTAAAAGTCACCGGTTGCACATTTGTGGTGTCCTTGTTGGAAATCGTTTATGGTAAGGCAGATGTATTCACTCCTTGTCGTCTTTCAGATTCTGAAATTCTTAATTTAGTCATTCTCTTCGTTATACTCTTGTTTACACGAGGTAGTACTGTTATCCCTCTTTTTCCTTGTTTTGTGTGCTACTTCAAAGTATAGAAACTTGGAGTGATGCTTTATTATTTTTGCTATTGTTCCCTTGGGTTCTGAGTGGAACATAGGGCTTCAACAACACGTCTCCACTTTGTTTTATTTTTTGCTGTTCTCTTTAGCCGGTTAGTCACACGATTGACCATATTGTCTCATTTCCTCCACGCATGATCTCCTCCATATCACCCTGGCACAGACGACCCACTCGTTGATTCCCGTTCGGGTTCCAATGGAGCTATGGTCTGGCGCGCGATGTCTTTTGATGGTCTCTTCAGCATATGCCAGATCCATCTCCATTTTCTCCTAAGTATTTGTTGAGCGATCGGCTCTTGGTTAGTTTGTTGGCAGAGTTTCTTATTGCTAACTCTTTCTGTCCATTTGATCTTCAGTATGGAGCCTGAGGAGTCAGCTGTTGACAAAAGTTTGCAGCAGCCTGTTGGAAATCCTTTTCGTGACGCTCCAAGGGGTCAACGCTGTCCAAAACCTTTTCACAGTCGATGAAATTGAGGTAGAGATTTGACTGCCATTCTGTGCTGTATTCGATGATGATGCGTAGAGCTGCAGTTTGATCAATAATTTTCTGAATCCAGCTTGTTCCTTGGGGGAGAGTTTCTGCCCTCAGTACATCTTATATTCTATTCAGGATGAGGCAACATAGTATTTTACATGGCATGGGCAAAGCATTATTCCACTCCAATTCTTACATAGTGAGGTATAATTCGCCCTTCTTCGGTAGCTTGACAAGGTAGCCTTTCATCCAATCAGCAGGCACCTTTACTTCTTTCCAAACCTTTTGCAATTATGGCGTAGGCATATCTGCTGCAGTCTCTGGGTGTGCTTCAGTTTGGGTGTTTTCAGTGCTTCGGGGGGGGGGGAATTCCGTCTGGTCCTGCTGCCTTCACGGACTTCAGTAGCTTGATTGCATTCAAGATTTCCGCTTTTGTTGAAGGATTGGTGATTGGTGTTCACTGGCAGGCGAGTTACAGGTGATGATCGATTAGGGAGTCCTTTAAAGTGATCAGCCCATTGTTTGATTTGTTTCCCTTTCTTAGTAATTAGGTTCCCTTGATCAGCTTTTATTGGTCTCATCATCTGGGTTGATCTCTTCCCTGATAGAAACACCTGGTTATCTGATGTAATGTTCTAAGGTGTCTTTTACTTGCAGCTTACCTGTTCTGCTTCAGGTGTCAGTGTGTCGTAGAATTTTCTTTTATTTTTCCTAGTACTGTTCACCTCTTTACTCAGTGCGATATACGTTGAACTCAACTTCTCCTTCTCTTGTCCTTTTTTGCACTTTGTAGATGAAAGTAATTTTGAACCTCGAGTGCCTAGTATGATAGATGTCAGCACAGAATATTTCCCACTTATACTTTTTATGTATTTTATTACTGAGAGCCTCCTTATAAGTATGTGGTTTCAAAGAATGTATTGTAATATTTTGTTGATACCGTCTTCTTTCTATCTTTTTCATACACTTTTCCAGGTGCTTCATCATTCCAAGAATTGGGCAAAGCAATTTTGACCACTATAACACTAGCTAGACGAAGTCAGTTGTCAGTCGGGTAAGAATTAAGAAAAACAACGTAATAATTAGTCATTCATCCCTCTATTAAAAATTGAGTATTTCTTGTTATTCCAATCACTTTACGGACATCTTAATCAATCACATTAAGATTTCAGTTGAAAGTGAGTTGGTGTTAATATACGGGATACTTAAATTGTAATTGAGGTCTTAAATGAGGTGTGTATACTTCAGTGGACAGTGTTGTCTTTAATAGGTAGGAAGAGCATTTCATAAAGGGTGTTTCTTGAAATCTCCTGTTGTGCTCACTTCATGGTGTATGTGGATTACTCGAATGGTGAGATTATAATTGTTATACACTCATTTGTAGAAAAGTAACTAAGATTTTTGGAACATTGTTGTCCTCTAAGTTGGAATTTCAATTACTGAAAGTTCCAATGTCATTACTATATATATTCTTATGTGTAAATCGATCAAGTCATCCACAAGTTCAAATTACAGTTATTAGATCAATATTAATCCACATTTTTTCAGCTAAGAAATATTCTTAAAACAATTTTGAAATCACTATAATACTGTTCATCATAAAATGTGAGTGTAAAAGTTGTGTTGGTGTTTATCTCAAGTCTTAACATTCTTTTGCATACATTCTCCATCGTCACATCGACTGGTTTCATCAGTTGATGTTATCCGTGTGTTTTTTATAAATAAGTTAATGTAGTGCTTATTATCTCTTTATCTTCTCTTATTGTTGTAAAAGTGAAGGAGTTGACCGGTTACCAGAATCACATCTAATTAAAACGTTGTCCACGTCTACAAGTTGTCCAATCTCCTCAGATAATGATTCAGATTTGCATTTATTCAATTCAATTGAATTGTTGCCGGAATATCAGCATATTCTTTCCTGGGCATGGAATACTCTCAAAGTAAGGTTTAAACCTATCATTCTATTCTATTCTATTGTTGTTGTGTTAATTATTGTACTATGTAATCAACTAATAATAAATAAACATGCAAAATGTTTTGTCAGATATGAAACTCGAAAATGTGTAATCTAGAAATGAGTAACTGATTGGAGATTAGCAAAATGGGGCAGAATTTGAGATGCAAAGTGTGAAAAATGGCTAATCGACACAGTTGCATAGTGAACAAAAACTAGTGGAGAGATGATAAAGTAGTTTTGTAAAAACCTGTATGAAAATGTAATATTATTAATAAGTAATAACAGAGTGATAATAAAATAAGGATATTGGTAGTAATAGTAAGCCTACGCAGTAAAATGAAGGGTTTTACTCTGGCCACGGTAAGGCGAGTGAATGTATGTAGTGGTTCTGAACACAGAGGTCTTGTTTTAAGATCCAGAATACCTGTTTACAGATGGTGTATTCATAGTCCTTTCGTACGATATTGAGGAACTCTGTTTAGCATTATGAAGCAGTCATGTCAAGGTGATGGGTGTTTAGAGTTGATGAGATGTTCGAGGATAGGACTATTTGTATTCTTCTTTTCTCCTCTAACTAGCCAGGCTGAACAGTGTTCTACAATACGTTTGTAGAATTGGCGTTGTGTGCGGCCGACTAACTTTACTCCACACGAACAAGGAAATTGACATATACACATTGAGGTGTCTTAAAGCGGTATGTCATCCATAATGGTTGAATAGATTAATTGTCTGCTGGAAAACGTGATACGTAAGGTGGCTACTTGAAATGTTCTCTTCAGACACTTGGAAAGGTGGTTTATAAGAATGTCTGCTTCAGTGTCATCCCGGAACTCTTTGTTCATAAAGAGATTTTTCTTAAAAACAATTGTGGTTTTTGGCGACGTTGGGCTTACTTTCATGTTTTGTTGATAAACATGGGTGGATATCGGTTCTCTAGTAGGTTGTCACGTGGTGACTTTAATTCGATCTCTGTCGTAACTTCTGGAAGGATTTTTCTGATGCCAGGACATTAGTTACGTACTAAGTTTTTCAGTCGTATCAGGGGGACGAAAATCTAGAAGCTGGTAAATTGTCCAGGCCATATTAGTTTGCGGTATCCTTAGACTTGTCTTCTGGTAAGTAGTATATCCAAGAATGGAAATAGCCTGTTTGATTCACGTTTCTAGAGTAAATATTTCTGCAGGATGTGCCGCTTTGAAAGCTTTGTGGAGAAAGTCTTTATCAAATGTTTCATCACAAATTATGAAAGTATGATCTATGTATCTCCTGTAGAAGTGCAATTGAGTGATCAGAGGATCAAGAATGCCTTTTTCGAGACTTGCAGTGGAGCAGTCAGCTAAAAGTGCACTGAGAGGAGACCTGATAGCCATACCGTCTTTTTTTGTGTAGAATTGTTCATAGAGTTTGAACAGAATGTTAAACGTACATCTGAGAAGTAGTTGGTTTAGGTAGTTGATGGGAAGGGCAACTTTTAGGTTGTTTTCGATTTAGTCACAGATGAAGCATATTGTTGTCGGTCAGGGGTATGGTTGTGAACAGAGATGTAACATATAGAGAAAGGACTTGTCTTTCAAGAAAAACTGACATCTTTCAGTGAATTGATGAAATCAAATGTGTCTTTAAGGCATTACCATGTCATCAGTCTCTTTCTAGATTACACCCTACATTATATAATACATTTTCCAGGACAAATTTGGTCTTATGAATTCTTTGTTAGATATGAAGCTGTGGTGATTAGTATTTATCAACTCATTACATTGAACCGTATAGGTTAGGAAATAAATGAAGTTCTTATGCAGAATTATTATTACAGATACTAGTGCAATATCTTGCCACTCAGCAAGTATGTATGTGTGTTTGTTAATACACTATTCTTAACATTTTGTGTGAGTGCTAAGGATGCTACCTGGTTGGGTTATCAGTAGTAGAGAGAGAGAAAAAGAGGGATTTGCGTCTCTATTTGAGTTACTGAAAGGTGACTTTATGTGCATATCTTCTCGCTTCACTTTGTGCCTGGTTAACATTTTCGGCAAATCTGTTTAGTGTATTCATAGTTTAGCTCTGTTGAATTTTGAGTATTTAGCTCTTATTCATATTTTTGGAATATTTTGGGTGTAATTTCTTTTTTTTGTGTGTAACCATGTCTTCATTTACCCCGTCATCATCATCAACATTCAAACAATAAGAAATAATTCAAAGTAAAATCGTACTTTTTATTCGTGTCTTTAATTCACACATTCATATGTGAGCAAATTGATGCTAAAAATTGAATCGTCCTGTTTTGGGCTCATCAACGGGATGAGCCTTTGCATTGCAATAAGTGTCAGTATTTCCATTTAGACTCAGACTCATTGTTTTGAGTAGGAGAGCGTTATCCAATATGCGGTTGAGATTTATTGATTCGCGCAACAACAACAGTAAAAAGAAAAGAAAAATAGAGTTCATTAACTAGTGTACAGTGAGTGGGAGGCGACTTTTGTGACTTGGTATTTTGATCTGTTGCACTTTTGTGTATAGTTCCACATTGAAAATTCAGTCAGTCAGTCAGTTAGTCAGTTCAGTTTGTCACTTGGTGGACAACACTCGTATGTGAAGTCTATGAACGGAAGGTGAGGGTTAGTGGAAGCACTAACACACTGAAATGTAGCTGCATACAGTTATAACCTGTGTTCTGTTTACGTTTGTTGACCAATACTAGAAATTTAATGTAGGCTTTTTTATATTAGCTCATCAAATAGCTGTGTTCTTTAATGTAGGGTACAGGACTGAGTCACGGCATACTGTTGTGCGGTGCACTCAATCATTTATAGTTATAGCTACAATGTTAGTGAAAGTCAAGCAACACGCCAGGTTTAGTTAAAGTACTAATTGGCCAACTCATTCTGCAACTTCCCTCCCATGGTGTCAGATTTACAAAGTGATGTAGACCATTCCTGAGGCAATAAGTTGCACTTGAGGAATTAAAAAGTAGAAATGATACTAAAAACGTATCCAGTGTACTTTGAATGTGATGCAATCCAACAATCACATGAAGAATTATGTAATTGGTGGTGGACCATTCAAATTTCTTAAAGACTGCACCACTACGTGGCTGTTGGAATTGTACCAGGTATAGTTAGTTTTGAACATGTAACCCATTATTTGTGTCTAGCCTAAGAATTGTTTAGTAGTGTTTTTTTATGTGTACATGTAGTTAGATTAAAAGGGTGTGAATAGTATTACTAGCTGCGTAAATGTAGGTGTATACATCAGTATTCAAACTCATAGTTGAGGCCGAAAATATTCACCATATTTGAAGGCTATTCAAATGCATGAAACGGTACTTAAACAGCATTCTGAATACAGTTGAGTAGTTCAGTAGTAGTTCAATCATTATCCGTGTGCCTAGACGCACGTCTTGTATGTCATGTTAGGTGGTATAAGGCAGTCAGGAGGAACGTCTGCACCTAGGTTTCATACTTCTGTTTGTGTCTATAACTGCTCTTAGTGATTAAAAACTGCATCACCCATTACTGAGCTGTTCGAACTGTGACTAGTCTTCTGTAAGTCGTTTAGCTAAATGTGGCTACTTCTTACTATATTCTAAAGCTTATTATTTTTACTTTTCTCTCCAAAAGTTTTGTTCTAGTATCCTAGCCAGTTGGTCAGCTCTACAATTTAAGTTGAATCATAAAGAAATGAGCTTAAATCGAAGAATACTTATTACAAAAATTGGCTATCATTTACTGCATCAGTTGTTACAGTGTCGTCATAAGGCAAGTTGTTTTTCTTATCTATTCGTTTTGTTTAAAACAAAAGAGTCAGTTTTGTATTGTTGTCATCTGCAGAGTTTTACAAGAATCAAGTGTTAGGAGTGAAAAAAACACAACTAAACAAATGAAGCTCTAAACATCTAGTAGCACTTATAATTGTGAATACTTGATGAATGTTATTGTTATGAATTCAGAACAACTGACCAGTTACGTCTGTTTTGGAAGATGAATAGATACGCATATAGATTTAAAACGGTGTATGTAATGATCATCCCGGTGACAGTCAACAATGCATAAACTTTGATCATCTCTTAGATCCCGAAATGATTACCGGTAACCAAGATATTCACGTTTCATAGCATTTATCAAACTGAAGTACTCTTCACAGCTTTATCAAATGAGCTCTTACATAATTTGGTACTGAAACTGTATACTACCGATTGATTCGGATGAGCAGTTTTATACGACTTATATCAACCAGTAGTGCTTGCCAGCCGGATCGAGGTGATTTAAACACCTAATGGCTGTTTCGCTCATTCAGGGCTGAGATCATCAGCGCTACTGGTCGATATGAGTGGTATACAACTGCTCTTCTCAACCAATCAACAGTATGGGGTTTGATCCAAATTTGTTTACTTTCTTGATTACCATTTATCCTATAAGGGAGAACACACACACACAAACACTGATTCGAATGATTTAGGTCTCTGAAGGAAAAGTGTGGTAAAAAGGTCACCCCTCAAACTGTGTACATAGCAGATTGTTAATTTGACAGTATGGTGTTGAATTTTTTCTGCACAAAAATGTACTTCTTCCGTATGAGTGGATGAGTGATCCAAAGCGGAATCGATTGTCTCCTAAAATAGACTAATTCGCTTTCACCGTGTATTATTTTATGATTGTAGTTTGAGCAGAAGTTAAGACGTAAGGCAAAAATTTACCTTACGAAATTACCTAAAATGGAAAAACTGATTTATAAATTTATTTATTTTTATTTCGTTGCATACACAAATATTTATACCTTTTTCTGTTTAAAGGGATCTATTGAAGCAATCTACTTTAATCTTCTACTCTATTTGCAAACTACTGAAGCCTACCAATCGACATCATCAGTTATGGTAGAATGTGAAGAAAAGGGGATGCCAATTTCACAAGTGGATTTCTCTACTAATATTGAATATTCTTTAATACCTAATAATAGACTGTTGACAGCTGATCATGTACTGTGTATATGTTGGCAAGTAATAAATAATAGTGCTTATTCTGTTACTCGACGCGGTGCTGGCGTGAAACCAGCTATTCGTGCATGCCTTTTAGTGAAACCATGCAATGGAATTGAAAATCCCGTGAGTATTGAATATATATATTTATGTATGGATATATATTTTAAATTTTCAAGTATTGGTTTTGTAGGGAATTTTTTTTGATTGGTTGGAGGATTTCATCATGATCTCGCCTTGTAACAAGAAGGTCCTGCGTTCGAACCCCTCAGTGTGGATGCGTACCGATGAGGAGTCCCAAACTAGGACGAAACAGCTGTCCAGTACTCCCAGGTTTTCCAATGGTTCTTTCATTGATGTCAGCTCATGATAAAATCATCCAACCAATATATTTATATATTTCGATAATATATATATATATATATATATAAATATATATATATATATATATATTTTATGTATCATGTATGTGTGCGTGTATGGATGAAGCTTAAATATTTTCGTAACTTTTTGCAACTATGTTTCATGTGTATAGCCTGTCACATTCACCTTCACGGCGAGTGTTGAGGTACATAAATCCTGCTTGATCAATCGATAAGTCACATATAATAAGATGAGAATTATTTTACTAGTTTATGGAGTAATTGGAGTGATAGGTGTTATCTTTCTGTGTCTTCTCATAATCCATTCATTCCCTTCAAATGACTGATGCATTTCAACGTTTAAACTCTGTATACGTACCGTCTTGACTTCATTGATTAGTCATGCTGTTATGCCGATTGTTTACCCTTCTGTGTTGGAATACTGCTATTTGAAGATATGTTAACTAGTCAACAGATGATTCTGCTCAAATCCCATCCCTTGTTTGTCAGCACTTACTTACTAAATTGTGTTTGTCACCCCCAACCTATATCACTCAGTGTATTGTAGATAGCTTACCGGATAAATTAAAATCCTATGAGGAGCAATAACCTTTACATGATGCAATTGGGATGAAACAAAATTGTTGTTGTATTTTACTGCAAGTATGCATTGAATACTATTTCTAAGGTGATAAAGTAACTATGTTTGTTTAATCTCAATGGATTCAATGATACATAGTAACATTGAGCTGCCTTGAACTTTAATTATCTTAAAGGATTTTAATGCATCGACTTTATGACCACTGTCTAATAGGTGATATCATACTACTAAGCACTTTTCCACTTTCCTTCGAATGTCCTCAGGTAGTCAGTTGCAAGTGCTTCTTTCTATTCATCCGATTTATGTGCTTTGGCACGTTCCTGTAAAGTGGTAAATGCAGTTGGGGGACGACTTTTCAACCTTAGATTGTGTCAGTAAGCATTTTGTGTGGTAAATTGTTACTAGTCTTGGAACTCGATAAATTTACTTGAAGTCAGCATTTATTCTATATTTAATCCTTTTAATTCTAGATTAAGGGAAGACTAGTTTCTTTTCTACTGTATCACATGTTTCTTTTAATATTTGATATCATCCTATGTTCATTGATGAATTTCTAAGGATATCCATTGTCTCGTAAGCACTTCTCAATGATAACAAGCTCATCACGAAGTCTTTCTTTTGAACTGTGTCCTTACCAGGTCTTTGTTGTAGCTTATTGGATAAAAACTGTTAAAATTCAGATGTAGTCTGTCTCTGTATACTTCCGTCTGTAGTTCGTAAAGGTTTAAGATCCAGGAAAAGAAACTTTCCATTTGGTTTATATTCCATAGTAAAATCTCTATTCATGTGTGCCTTATTAAGTAGGTCAAGTAAGTAGGAGACACGTTTAACGTCATTATATGTAGTAAGTGTGTTGTCACCATATCTCTTTAAAGAGTCACATCATGTATAGGGGGTTTCTGTCTCGTCCGCTCAAGGTATCCCATAGAAATATCCGCTAGGATGGGACTTAATGGACTACCCATCGCAACTCCCTCAATCTGACGATACACACTGTTGTTAAACTGAAACTGGACATTCTTAGATCACATGAGCATGTGTTCAAATTGTTTTTCAAGTGAAAGAAGTAAGTGGGAATATTGACACATAATTTCTATGGTTTGTTCCAACCGCATGTATACTATGTAAACGTTTTGTGCAGAATAAAGCTGTTATTATTATGGTATAAGGGTGTTTTGCTTCTATCAGAATACACTTGTTTGTTAGGAATTAAATTTCGTTATTAACTAACAAGGTGTGAATATTTATTGAGCTATTTTGAATTCTATTTTTCGCATAGCCATGTTCGCTTGTTCGTTGTTTGGAGAGTTTGTTCAAAATTACTCAGTTAAGCGACAAAGAAGAAGATGATACTAACAAAAATATACAATGTGTATCTAACACTAATACACTTCATGATTCACCGAGGGTATTCGCTTTACATTTATTGCATGGTTTGTTCACTGATTCTCGACTACGTGTACACGAACATCCTGTTCCTGTAAGAAGCGATCATTCACAAGTCAGTAATTGGACAATTGAAGCTCTTCGACTCGCTGTTGTTCCAGGTTTCAATTCAAAGAAATGGAATGTTTGGAATGCTGCTCTACAACTTCATAGTAAGTTTTTGAGTAATTTTCTAACATGCATTAATAAACCGATATTTCTAAGGAGAGTATCGTCTGGAATTGAAACTGAAACTTACATCCCAACAATTTTCCGCTATACAAATAGTTTAATTAGTTTTAGGTTCATATCTGCGAATAGCGACCAGTGTTTCAGTATTTTCCTAAGTGTTTATTGACCACATTGTGTAGTTCGATTTGCATTCAAACTGATTGTTTACAATCTGGTCTAATCATGTTGGGGTTCAGCAGCACTCAAATAGTTTAATGGTGAAGTTTTTGACTGAGTCACTCAGTGGTCAGAGTTCGAATCTATAGGGTGGAAAGGGGAGTCGACTTTCCTTAAAGTTACAGGTGCACAAATGAGCAAGTGTATAATATTTATATATATATATATGTATATATATATATATATAGTCATTGTTTCTTTTAATTTTCTACAAAACACAGGTGCACTGGTGTATCGTTTGACTGGAGCAACTTCAGATTCACAGTTCCCTGTGATTTCAGATGTTTACCTGCAATATCCTCAAATATTGGATATTATCTTGAGTTGTTTAAATAAGACCTACCAAGATTTATCATCTGGTCAATCCTTAATTCCTTTGCTTACATTGATCGTTAGGTTCTCAGCATCAGCTGATCAGTCCTTCTTAGGGTAAGTACTTTACTGTGTATATTCTTTTCAATGTGTGGTTCTGTTTTATTCATCATCTATGTGTGTCATTGTAGCAGAAGTTTTGCCTAACATATATCATCAGTCGAGAAATTTTCAGCACGACCTGCTAGATCATTTTTAGTTGTAAAGAAGAAAGTCGAAGGAAAAAAAGCAGCCTGAACTTCTAAATGTATAGACATACAGGCATTTCTAAGGCCATCTTATAATCAATGCTTATTGAATTTCTCCTCCATTCAGTGTCATTATTCCCTTCGGTTACGAATGAAACATAGGGCTACAGTAGCACATCTCCTTTTGGCTTTGATGTCAGCAATACTTTTCATTGGGCTACGCAATTGCTCATAAATTCTCATTTCCGTTTCACATGGTCTCCTCCACTTCACCCTCGAACCACCAACACGTTTCCCGAATCGGTTTCGTTCGAGGACTAGGAACGGTCTCCTCAGAGTGTGTCCGATTCATCTCCATTTCCTTCTCTGCATATTTGTTGGGTGATAGGTTTTTACTTAGTTTGTTCCCAGGATTCCTTGTTGCTGACCCTTTCTAGCTAGTCATCTGGTCTTCAGTATCGGGCCATAGAAACCATTTGTTGTCTGATGAAATTCTGCGGTAGCCTGTCAGAAATACTTTTGATGACGCGCTTTTATTGTATCTGTGGAGAAAAAAAAATAATGCTCTGTATGAATAGTCTCACTCGCATACCTGAATATTTTGATCATCCATTTTCATTAGTGATTGGTGTTATATGAAGTCGAATTGCCTTGGAAAAAAAGCCAGAGATGACTAATATTGAAAGTGTTGTATAGCCCGTCATTGTTAATACAGACCGTTGATGTACGTCTAGACATAATAATCCCAATCTATCTTTTTATTTCAGCTTTGAGAACTAGTGTTCCACTCGCGTCTATTTACTTGATAAAAGTTAAAAGAAATGTTTCCCATCTATATTTTTAATGTAAAGTGTTTTCGTTAGTTTTAGGCGTTTGACTTTCAACTCCTGGTTGAAATGCCGCTTCTTCTGCTATAGTTTTGCAACCTTTTAGCCTCATTATGCTTAACAGACTCATTGTCAAGTTTGATCACTAGCTGGCATCAGTTAGAAAACCAGTGGAAAATGAGGGAGTACTGAACCTCTGTTTCGTCCCAGTTTCAATATCTTCACACCTACCGCTGGTGATCAAACCTCCAACCAATCAAATCCCTGCAAACCAACAGTCAATTGCTTATAAGTGCAATTAAAGCAAATTAGGTCTTTTCTGGCTTTTGTATAAATCGATGAATTATGTGTTTACAGCTTTGCTCTAACTTTCTTGTTTTTCTAAAAATAATTTTTTTCTTTATTGTTCTTTTTCCTTGCTCACTTGCATTTCACAGTCTAAAGGAAATTGATAATATCCTTGAAAAACTTGAACATCTACTCCTGAATCACAGCAGTATGTATATTCGTAAATTAGTTTCTAAGGCATATTTTGTATTTCTGAATCCACCGATTGATACCTACTATCAGGATGAATCAGTTTCATGTTGTCATAAGAAACAATCTACGCTGTGTAAAATTTCTTGTGTTGGACCGTTGAAACTAATGTATTATTCATGTGTTCTACATAACATTGAAACTACGCATTCGTATAACTCTATCTCGAATGCAATTCACGGGCAGTTATGTTTATTGCAGTCGTGGTATCAACATGAAACTTGTGCTACTGTTCAAAAATGGAGGGCAAGGTGAGTCTCTGCATTGCTTTGATGTTTAATAAAAATGTTTTTTTAATAACTAGTTATTATTTGGTTTTATTTAGGAGTAAAATTCTGATCAAAAAGTTGACCGGATAATATTTGGATAATTGTGATCAATTTGTTTATACATTCAATTTACAGTCTGTGGATTGTAGGTTCGAATCCTACTCTAACTACCGTGATTTAGACAACTAAGCAGTGTCGTTAAACTCTGCGTCTCTAAGGTTGTGGATGTGCATCTCACGTTATACATTCAACCGACAATTGGTATGACTTCACTGAGGTACTTGGAATGTTTGAATGTCTTGTTGAAATAACCTAACAACGAGACGAATATGTTCAATTTTTATCATTGAGATGTTGGACAATCTAACTAAGCCCTGCCATTATCTGTTACTTATAGAATCAGTTCTCTCTTCAATAGATTCCATGTTTCACTTCTTAGATGTTGTGTTTGACAGGAGAGAGGATGGTTTGTTAAGGATTAATCTTTAGACAGTATAGTACACTGACTTCAACTATTCAGCAACTTTAAGTCGAAATTGAGCCTTATACATTCTCTTTGTTTCACAGTGTACTGAAAATCTGCCCTAAAGATAAGATTGACGAAGAACGTGGAAACCTTAGTACAACGCTTTTAAATAATGGACATCCTGGAAGGTTTATCGGAGGAAATAGGCAGAAAGTAATCGCTCCTAGCCAGATCATAATGCCTAAGTAAACACTCTTCATGACTCTGGAATCCAAAGGTGACATTCTATCCTAATTAACTTAAAAGTCGTCTATTCAAGTGTATTAAAGTTGTTTTTATGCTGATGACTTATACTTGGTATTCTCCGGTCAGAGTATAATTTGACAATACTCACCTCTGTATGCATGGTCTTGTGAAGCTGATTACGTTAGGCATTGTGAGTGTGTGGTCTCCGGATTTGCGTAATTGAGTACTATCCAGTTTGGTTGATGAAATTCGAACGTGTAATGACGAAGTTCTTTATCCTTGAACACTCTCCTCAGTGAAATCACTGAACCCTGAGCGATTTTTCTCCGCTTATGCATAGATGAAGGTATATATATATGGTCGTATATATGTGAGAAGTGATTTTTATTGTTTTTTTAATTGTCTTCTTGAAATTTACTTCAAACAGCTTCTTCAATATGAAATCAGCATTTAATTATCTTACTAAATGGACATCTATTTCCTGTTGGTATCTCGCCTATGAATTATGCATTCTTATAAATGCTGTGCTGGTGCATACTTCGGTGAATGCTAACTATGTGGTGTTATTCCAAAGTGAAGTATGGACAAGATTATCTACTTTACCTAAATCAGTATTCATTCTAACCAATGAGGTACTATTATTACTATATTATTATTATTATTAGATTGATTACTTTTATTTTTACGATTGTATTATTTCAATGTCGATCTTGCATAGATTTGCATAATTGCAGAATGTCATATTTTAAAAGGAGTCTATCATGAGCATACGAGAATCAGTACGTTATCACAATAGACAGGCATTGATTCTACAGGCGTCTTACATAGCCTCTCCTGAGGAAGTCCTACTCACTGCCTTCACGTGGCGGAGGTGTTTTTTTCTTCACCAAAGTGAGAGGGCGAAAGCGGATGTTCGGCGCTCCTCACCGGGTTGACTGTCTATTGGATGATAGTCTAGGGGAGATGGCTAAACCCTGACTCCAAACCTCCAACGACTGTCGTATGAAGCTCACTGGAGCTCACCGACAGACGTATGGACAAAGGACTTGGATGTCCTGGATGTCTGGCCCCATTCAAAAAGGCGTATGAACCGAACTCCGGTCACCGGCTGCCAATGGATAGTGGACTCCCTACTCCACTCCTATTGCCTTGTAGGTCACACTTGGTTGTGTAAAGGCTAGAGCTACACTCTCAAACAAAAGGCCGAGCGATTCTGGGGACATCACTCGCACCAAATTCCCATGAAACTTCATGAACTCTCTTACCATCAGATCGCCGCGCCTGGGCAGCGATGATTCGAGATGTTCATGAAGCCGGCTCATCCTCCCGTAGGAGATAGCCGAAGTAAAGTAAAGTAAAGTAAATTGATTCTACACATAGGTTAGTTAAACGCCGCTGTTCAACATTCTCTTCTGCAGCATGCTGCGTCTATTCAAAGATGCTAGAAGATGATATGTTGATGGTAACATGGGTAGGGAGTTTAACCACTTCTGATCGTCTTGAAAAATTAATGGTTTGTTACACGCAATCTTGACGGCTCAGTACTTTCTTTTCAGTGCAGCATTCAGTCTGTTTCTCATTCTGCTAGCTGTATTATCACCTTTGTAGGTCGATAGGTTTTATCATCACTATGCTGCACTTTACTTTCTCCACACTACGTTTTCCATGTAAGAAAGAATTCAATGTAGTTTGATCAGTATGTGATGTCAACCAACTGAGTTATTGACTGTTAGTTTCAGTCATGTGAAGAGGTTGCTGTGATTTTTGTGAAGTTAAGAAACACACAATGGCTAAAGACTGACTAAGATTATTCAAATTCCTTCACATTGCTGCAGTATAATACATGATGTAGTTGAGTTGGGATGAAGACGATCGCCAGAGATACTGGACCGATTGACTTCATAGCATAAAGCTAACTACATACAAGGAGTGATTTTAGTAGTTGTTGTAGTGTAAGTTTCTTTTCTTCTCTTTTTTCAACACTAACAGTTAAGTCTCAGAATCGAAGGGCGTTTGTGGCGTGTGTTACTTATAAGGTTTATGAGTAGTATATAGATACGCGTTCATCTGCACAAAAGTCTAATTGTGGAGAGATAGATTTAACGTCAAAGAGGGGAAATGAACCACTGTTGCGACAAAACACAAAGGAATGCAACACAATAAGCAGAAGTAGCACAACATGGAAGATGTGTGCAAATGAGAATTTACACATATAAGGTATATATGATATCGCTATATAAAGATTTCAAATGCCAAATAAACATTCCTTTACCAAGTTTCTTGTCTCATACCGTTACACGTTGCATATGATATGTTAATATGGTAATCAATCTATTTATCCCTATTCTTAAATATGCTGATCCGAATCTGTCAACCAGACCTTACTACTACTGATTGGTTCTCTTTAACGACTTGATTGTAATTTTCTTCTTGTTGGTCGCATTGTTTTGTCAATAAAAACCTTTGGTTTAGGATATATATATATATATATATATATATATATATATATATATACTGCCAAATTAGTGAAGTTTAGGGATGGGTTGGCAAGGGATCGAACATGAGTTCCTTCAAGGTTGCAGATACGCCTTGCTGACGAGTGTTGACTAGCACAAGACCTAGGTCCAAGACTTCCTGCCGATTGCCTGCAACCATGTAGTATCATCGAAAGGATCGAACCCCAAACCTTTTGTGTGTTCGGAAAGCATTTTACCGCTGAACTACTGACGCAGTAGTATCTCATTATCATTTTTTGCAGAATTTATTTCAGTATTCTTGTTCGTGTTGCTTATAATTTTATTATGTTCTTAAAGTTTTGTTATTCTTTATCGGTTATCAATCTGTTGATTTTTTCTAAAATTGTTTACATATCTGTTTAAATGTTCAATTTAGCCATTTCACATGGAATTTTTAGTTGAGTTCTATCATATCTGTTCAAGACTGCAGTCAAATTCAAATCTGGTTGGTTCTTTGATTATTAACAATAAGACGGATCCAATTCTACTCTTACGATTTCTTAATCTAATAAAGCCTCATCATAATTATTTATCCGAAGAATTTCACTTGCAGTTAATTGAGTATTGGATGAATTGGCGACCATTGCCACCAGTTGAAGAAGTTAATTGTAAAACACAGGAAATATCGAATTGTTCTATTGATCCGAAGCTGGCGGGAGACAATTCTCTCTTGGAATACCTTCATCCAACAGTGTTTTGGTGTCTGTTGGAGTTTTTCGTCGTATCCTGTTCATCAACAACAGAATGTTGTAGTCAAAAAAAGATTCAGACTGAAGTAAACCTCGAAATCATGTTATCACGTTTGTGGAATTTATGTTCGTGTAATGAAATGATTACTGGAATCAGATTTTGTGTTAATCGTTCACGTGTATTGTATCTAATTACACATTTAATGTGTTTATCATCAGATTATTTTTGGTAGGTGTTACGTAATTTTGTTTCTTTCTGATGCGTTTGCTTAAATTTCCATACTTATCAGTAATTTTGATAAGTGACTAGGCTTACGATTTTTGTGTGATCACTAAAGTTAAGACGAAAGCATCGCTTAATGTTACACTTAAATCGCTAGCCTCTGAATTACAAACTTAATCCCCCGCCGATCGAATAAGTGCCTTGCGACTATTTATCTCATGTCCGTCTTTGGCGTAGACGTGATATCCGACTATCGATCAAAGGGCGTGTGTACTGCTCAGGAGTCCGCTCCGTCCTCCTTTATGGCTGTGAGACCAGGCCATTGAGAGTGGAACACATGAAAAGATTAGCTGTCTTTGATCATAGGTGCCTGCGTTCTATCTCCCGTGTGAAGTGGTATAATAGGGTGAGCAATATTGAGATTAGGCTTAGGTTGAGTGCTAGATAAGGAGGGGAAATCAATAGACGAGGTTGTGAAGTTACATCCATTGAGATGGTAAGGACATGTGTTACGCATGCCTAGCCATCGCCTTCCTCGACAATGGGCAATGTCAGCTGACATAGGGTCAGGTCGGAAAAGAGCCAGTGGTGGTCACACCAAAACATGGCACCAGTCAATGAAATCTACAACAGGTAGTTAAAGCCAAGTAGGAAGGTGTAGACTTCCTGGTTGGGGTCCTCGGGACGGTAAAAACCAATGGCTGAAAACAATTGGTGATATGGCTCAAAATCGTTCTCAATGGCTAGCGCAGATGCATCCACTCCTTGTGACTTTTGATTTCCAATGAAACTGTTTTGTTCTCCGTTATTACTATTCCTTTGTCTCACACCTCTGTTTACTGTTTCCATTATGCATTTCTTCTACTTTCTTCTCTTGCTTTGTGTGCTACATGGAGTGTGACGACTTGAATTGCCGCACATCGGTGCAAAGTTCTATGTCGAAAACAGACAGATTTATCTTATGTTGATATCAGTCCCTTTGTAGTCCCATTACACGTGTGTGTTGTTGTAAAACGGATATATCTTCAGTGACTATTGATCAGAGCTTGTGTTTATTAGTACTTGTTGATATGTGATTTGTTAGTCCCTAGTTTATTACACTTGTTCAACACAATATCATGACTCTGGTGACATTTGACAGCAACCTGTGCACCAACAACATATTTCTTGAAAGCCTAGTAAACGAAATGGAAAGCCTCAAGTAGAATTCAAGATAATATCCACTATGGGAAGTGAATGTTGTTGTTATACTGTATATTCGTGTGATTTGTTTTTTTTCTTGTTTTGAAATTTATGCTTTTCTGTTGTTTAATGTATTAAAACAAATGGATTAGGTGCTGGCGGTGTATAGTCATTCTTGTATGAACGTCGATACTTCCAAATGTGTTTTATTAGTCTAGGTACTCGACTTCAAATGACTAGGTAGTAACTTGTTCTAAGCCCACTTCGCTGACCGAGATTTGAGCAGCCGAGTAGTGTCATTAACTCTTACACAATAGGTTCAGCTGATTGTCAACCAAAAATGATCGAGTAACATTCCCATTTTCACTCTTCTTTCTCATATTGTTTGCCTTGACGGATGGCTTGCAGTATGCAGTCCAATCAGTTTCAAAAGTAAAATAAAAACTCAGTTTGATCCAGTTAAGTATACAGCAGAGAATGACAATACGTAGATTGTGTCATCTTCTTTCTTCTCTCTTTTAATTGAATGATTACCCTTCCTTTGTTTATTTATTTACCAACTAGCTTTCATGTGGACAAATGGTTAGATTTAGTAACTGACTGTTTACAATTTCATAAATCAACAACTTCACGTATCTTTGCCTCAAAGTCAATTCATTTGTGGATAATAAAGTTAAAAGGCGAAGAAGAAGAAAACACTTTAAAAACTGGTATAAATTCCTTACCATATCGAATTTATTTGATCAAACAATCATTGAATTTATCACAGCGTAAAAGGTGTGTGATTTACAAAGTTGTTTAATCTTAGTTTTACTGTCAGTGTTTTTCTGAAAAATAATTTTTTTTGTGTATGCTTAGGAAGAGTTTCAGCTTAATGACCACAACATAGTTTATGTATTCGAACTGAGTTTCAATCATTGAATAAGGTTCATGGTAGTGAATCCTCAGATTACCTACTGACGTATTATTACATGTATGATAGGCGTGAATAAGTGTGAAAGTTATTTAAGATTTTTGTTTCTTGATCAGGGTTTTTAATATCTAATATAATTGGTGGATGGTGACTAGCAGTGGAATCCAGGATGCACATTTCGTCCTATTTGGGATTCGTCAACTGGATGTACCTGCATTTCCCAGTGAGTGATGATGTCCCCGCCGAGGCTCGACCCCAGTGCCCATAGTTTCAAACGCCAAAGCGTTGTCTACTAGACCACTTGGACCATGAGAGCCACCTCTTGTGCAACGGGTCATGTTAATTTAATTGAATTTTAGATTTTCCCATTCTGGGTTCCACTGCTAGTCACCATCCACATCGTCGAAGCATCTGCACAAGAAGCCGACATGTCAACCTGAGACCGAGCACTTCGGTCCAATCAATCGACGGGAAAATCTAAAATTCAATTAAAGTGGAATCAATAGTTTTTCGGTGATAAATATGTCTTACACTAAGTAAGTTGTGCATGACGAACGAGATTCCGTTGAAAAGGTACTTTTTTATTTCAAAGTTTTGGATACGTCTTTGACTTGCGTGAACAAACATGAAAGTAGGCTTTTATGCTGATTGTTTGTTAACGTCTAATACCGAAATGGACACATTTTGCTGTTATTTTTCTTCGGTTTCTTTATAAACATCAAAACATGATGTAAGTTACACATAATCGAGAAAGCTTGGGTATCATAAGTAGTAGGATTGACTAGACGGAATATTTCCTCATTATTTAAAGCTTTTCAGTATTTGTATTTGCATCTGTCTGCTTACTTAGAGATAATCTGTTTATCTTTATTTTTACTTTAAAAAAAGCATTTATAATTCCCACTGCATGAATCGGTTTTTTTAAGCATTACGATTCGATTGACACGAATTCTTTGTTGTTCCGCTAAGATATTTCGCGGTTGGATGAAGTTCGCAGTTTACAAAATATTTCGTAGTCCGTGAGTAACACAGTCCAAAAAGGTGGAATTTCACCACAGTTTCCTCCCTGGTAAACCGAAATTATTTGGAGCACAATATGTGACAGTAGACCTGTGGTTTATCGGTCAATACGCAGAACTTTTACGACCAAGTGGGTCACCAGTTGTAGAAACCAGATCCACCTATCGACATTTAGATAGCTATTACTAGCTAAGCCCTAGCATCCTAACCACTATGCCACCGACGCATAGTGGTTAGGACGCTCGCCGACCATGCACATGGTCCGGGATTCGATCCCCGGCCGACGCACTTCTTTACCTCGCTAAGTCAGAAATAACGCTGGTGAAGAGGAAAGGTTGGGCATGAGGCTAGGAACCTCATCCTGTAAAATAAGCACTGCTACAGGAACTTCAAGCCACTAGCTTGAAGCCCTATGTTCCACCGGGGAAGGTGAAAGAAATAAAAAAAAATACAATATGTGTGGATCATTCCCGTCTACATGGAATCGCGAGTGGTTGTTAAGGTACCTCGTTCATTCTCTGGCACAATATATGATCTGCTTTTTATCATAAGTAATAGTCAAGAACGTAAGCATAAATACATGATGTTTTATGCTACTGATTTATTGATATGAGCAGTTAGATACTATTCATGTCAATCAGTAGTGCTTGTTAGCCAGATCAAACAGACCTACATACCAGACGTCCTTTTCCCTCGTTTAGGGTTGAACTCATCAGCTGTGTACCTGGTTTGACTAAGCTCAGATAGCCCAATTACTTCAAACCACCGAAACTCGTGTTTCCGGTGACACTCATCAGGAGAGACGTTGTTTCCAAAGAAATAGCTGATGTACTGTTGGTGTTGTTTTACGGGATGGCGTTACTAGTCTCACACCCAACCTTCCCATATTCCTCAAGCTTACTGTTGGCTACTAATTCAGACAAGGTTTAAGAGTGCGAAGGTTGGGATTCGAACCGCGGACTACATGCGTGGTTGGCGGGCATTCCGCCATTAAACCGCTGACCAGTCTGTATTGGGTAATGTTATTTATTATGGTTAAATAACTCCCTCTGCTTGTTGATACTCGAAATGTGATTGCATAGTTCACGTGTATTCATCCGTGTAAATTTATTACGTTCAAGGATCCTATCAATAGTGAAGACATTAATAGGCGTATAAAAAGGAATTACACGTTTTAACACACTTCAGTTGTATCCAACCATACATCTACTGTAGCCTTATTATAAGCATATATCAGTAATTCCTGTCACCAGTTTAGTTCATTGGTGTTTCAATAGTTGCAAGTAGGATATATTGCAATTTTGCTGTTATCAACCTTTCTTACATATCTCCTACCGATGCTTGTATTGCCAATTTAAAAAATTGTGGAATTCTAAATTAAACAGTCTAAATTCATTCTTTGTCAATCATTATTCACATATCATGCCACTGAATTGTCGATGATTTCTTAAATCTTATGCTGTGATATACGTGTTAGAAATCACGTTTTTTAACAAAATAATGTAACTGTACCACAGCTTTCTGTTAGACATATGACTCTTAAGCAGTTGATCTCAGGTTCTAATCACACGTCAACTACTTCAGCTTAGGGGACTGAGAAGTCCAGTTGATCGTTCAAACAATATACGCCTAGCTGATAACCTTGGTACATCGAAAATTTGTCCTAGGTAATTGCAGTTGACCTATTCCAAGGAATTCAGAATTCTAGTGTTTAACAAGTAGTTGACTAAATAAGGTGGTAAGTGTGGGGAATACAGTATAAGATCAGTGTAAGAAAGGATGAGGTTAAATTTTACAAGGTGAAAAGGCATTTTTTCGTGATTTGGATTGATTTAATTTCTTTCAGTTATTAGATTTCTCGTCATAAGTCAACATCATTTAGAGAAGTCACCGAAAAACAAGCCCATTGAGCGGCTGTTTCGTCCTATTTTTTGGGAATCTTCAGCAGGGGTGGGATGCGAAACCGTCAGACTGCGAGACTAAGCTCGGTAAAACTATTCAGCCACTTGGGTTGGAATTCAGTGACCCGTGAATTCTCGCTTTGTCAACTCATGGTAGTATAGAGCTACTCTCACCAGTGAGTGACATCGGTGAGCACCCATTTCAAGTTGGCATGGTTGACCTCATAACCAGTGGTTCATGACTTCTCACTACAGCTTCAGGACATTCATCCACTGCAGAAAAATTTGAAGAATAGGCTGAGGCTGGTGTCCAGTGCTCCGTTTGTTTAGCGATGTTGGTTTGTGACGAAATCTACTAATTGTAAAGTGGTTTTTTTTCTCCCCAGAATTAGTTTATTGAACATTAGAATGATAGCAATAACTATCTTATTTTTTTAATTTTTATTTATCCATAATAATCCTTAACAGACTATTGAATTGCATCTTACAAAGTTTATTCGATGAATCACATGAAGTACGATCATTAATGAGTGCTATCGTGAATTTATGTTTGGAAAGGTATCCTGACAATTGTGAATATAAAAATAATCTTAATAACATGAATAATTTCAGTGATTCACATTTAATTGGTGTACATAAACTTTTAAAAGAAATTTTACCATTACTGTTAAATGATGAAGACACTGATGAACAGTATTCAATGCATAGTCGAAGTGAATCAACTAATTGGTTATGTGACTATTGGTTAACTGTAATGAAGTCTATGAACTGTCTGTTGATTGGTGAATATGAATCAAGTCAACGGTATGCGTATTCCTTTATTTTTTTTTTAAAATTTCTTCTTTCTTTGACAATTGTTTTGTTAATGCAATTCGTTACTGATTGATTCTTTTTATTTTCTGATTGTCATGAAAGCATCAATATAATACTCATTGGCTAATTGATGCAGAACCTTGAAGGAAAGAACATGCGTTACTTCGAATTTCAATACTTCAAAAAACAAACAAACAAGAGAATCAAACATAAAATCGTAAAAAGGATATGTAATAAATATTACTGAGGATATAGATGCATAGAAAAGACAGTGATTAAATCAATATTAATAAAGCTTTTCATAATCTGACATAGCGTTCATATATCTATGCGGTTACAGATGATTTTAAGACATAGCTTCAAGTCTATAAAGATTGGTTTATGGTATCCCGAAGTACTATAGATAGAAAAAGGCTTTCCCCGCCTATGCGGTCCAGACAAATCTCCAATCATTTCATGAGTTGGTTCTACTCTTAGGTCTGACTAATGCTAACTCTTTTCCGCCCTTAATTCTTCTTTAGCTGATATTGCTTAGTACCACTTATTTAAGTTAAGCACTTGAATGTAGACACAAATTATATATATATATATATATATATATTAGTAATTTAATGCACCGCAGAGGCAAAAAGTGTTTAGTTTCTGAATAAAAGTTAACTGAATGTAGAGTTTAACTTTATTATTATTTTATCAAAATTGAAAGATGACACACTGAACTATTCGGATCTTCGGTTAGAAGATAACTTGCTGTAAATATGTATGATACCAGTGTAATGGAAATATACTTCAATAGGTTTGAAATTAAGTTCTGGATCACCACAGGATTCCAGTTCCTCATTCCCCCTGTTTTATTAATTGTGATATATCATTGCGGAATCTAGATTTTGTTGTTTTGAAAGTTTCATAAAAGTGTTTATTCGTGGCTATCGAAGTGGCCTTAAAAGTCATCCAGTCAAAGTACACTTAATGTAAATGTAGAATTTAGGCACTCTGGTAGAATGTAATTCCATACTAAATAAGTTTATATTAAATATCACACAGTGATTCAGTATTAACAACTGGATGACATTTTGAGCATAAATTATTCCTCATAATCATATCAGTTTTAGTCACACGGTTTCACAATTTGTCTTATACATATATTTTCTCTTTTTCTGTCTCTCCAATCGGAATGATGCAAAATTTATGCTGGGGATATGGAAAGCGGCAACAAACAATAGGTCTTATGTAGGATTATCAGTGAAGCTGAAATTTGGGTGGCATTTAAACCAAACAACTCTCTCAGAGATAAACTTTGTCGGCTTAAGGGTTCAATAGATCCAATTAAGAAAAATAAGATAATTAACAAACTGCGTCGGTGGGACAGCGGTAGAATGCTTGCTAACCACACCGGTGGTCCGGGGTTCGATACTCGGCGGACGCACTCCTTCACCTCGCTAAGTCAGTAATAAAACTGGTAAAGAGGGAAGGTTGGGTACGAGGCTAGCAAACCCATCCCGTAAAAACAAGAACCACTGCTACCGAAACTTCGAAGCTCTATTTCGAAGCCCTATGTTCCAATGAGAACGTAAAGGAATAAAAAAAAATACATAATTTACCAAATACCATGTAATGACTGTGAGGTCAATTACATAGATCAGTCAAACTAGTAGATCGGGGTCAAGTAGATTATTGAAACATCAAAATATAGCTAGACCTAGAATAATTGACCATGCTAAGTTAAATAACCTAGAAGAAAGCTCAACCATTGGATTGCATTCACTTGCATACAGTCACATGCTAGGGTGGGACAGGGTGAGAATATCTAAAAAGTAATATAGTTAGATGGAGAGAGAGGTTAATCACTGAATCTTTGCTTATCGATTCAACACCGCACATGTGAAATTGGAATGATGCAAGGCCTCTACCGGAGATATGGAGAGTGGCAATAAACAACAAGGGGAAGTTAGAGAGAGAGACAGAAAGAGAGAAAATATATTTATAAGACAAATTGTGAAACAGTGTGATTAAAATTGATATGATTATGAGTGGCGATATTGTATGCTCGAAACATCATCTAGTTGTTAATACTGAATCAATGTGTGATATTTAAAATAAACTTATCGAATATGAAAATACGCTTAAGCCTATTAAGTTATGAAACTTTATTCCTTTCTTACTTATATCTCTATTCATATACTTACGTCTAACACTAACGGATCTCATGTGGTGATTGTACCCAGAGTCGGAGAACGCAATAAGGGTAATATTTTTAGTTAAGAGTGAGAACCTGCAGTAGTTATTTTTTTTCCCACGACCGCACACATAAACTCCACTTACCAGTGCTTTAGTAATGTTATGGTTCATTGCCTGGTGAATCTAACTGTTGCGCTTTGTATCACTTTATATCATTATGAATTATCAACAAATAATAATAATAATGATAATAATAATAATTCTGTTCATCACAAATTGCGTACATTCATTAATGTCTGTCTGTTGTTTTCTCTCAACTCTTCTTTTTAATTATAGAAATATACTATATGAACGAGAGGCTTATAATTTATTTTGTGAACCGCGTTTGCTAATCGATTTACTATTTACCCATCTTTGTTCACAAAAGAATTTGTCTAAAGAGGTAAAGTTGTCGACTGCTTTTTGTAAAAAAAAAATTTAGTTCCTTTTGGCATTATCCGTTACTTTATAATGCAACTGAGTTGTTTTTTTTCACACCTGAATGTCTGTTTTATTACAGCGTGTTACCAATAAATATGAAGAAAGTGGTGGTTCGCTGGTAGAATGCAGCCGACACACCTCTAAACCACCTTTCCCAGTCGTGTAAGTCGAGCAAACCCATCGCGTAAGAAACACTATCGCTGCTGCTGAAACGATAAACTTTGAGGCTCTGTATTCCACTCGACACTCAAAGAGGAATAAATGAAATTCTAGAAATTCAGAGTTGGTAATTCGTAGTTGAAATATATGGTTATTCGGTAAACAGAAGCTTCAGTAAATCAATGAATTGAATATTCTATCCCAGTGCTGTAGTTCTGCGTTATACTGAAGGATAAACACACTTTACCCAACTGTTATCAAATTTCAGGAGTATTTCTAAGGCTAATTTCGATACTCTCTTATGTATTTAAAGATCAGCAGTCATTGCTTTTATCGTTCGATATGAATTATAATCAGGAGAAGGCTGACAGTTGTGCTATAGGCGATTATGTAGATTCTGCATATAAAAGAATTTTATCAATTTCTAACACTACTACTACTACATTTTAAAGATACAAAATACAAGTTAAAATAAGATTTCACGCATTTATTCCCCTTTACGAGTTTGAATTAAAGTAAAACCACTGGTTTATGCAGAATCAGATGTTTACATCTTTTATTTCGTCAGCATCTTATCATCTGCGTAGAGCTTACAAATGTTACCACATGTCAGTCGATGAGAGAGACTGCAAACTTCAGATTTCTGTTTCCCTTCCTTATAAAAACAAAACTAAAAGCGGATCAAATCAAATACCAATATCTTTAAGTTGATTACTTCTTCAGATTTCTTAAAATATTTGTATATTTTGATGTGGTTGTTTTCTCTGAGCTGGATAGTTAATTCGCGAAGCTTTCATCGCCCTACTAGGCGACATCTTCGGCGCATACTTCAATTTGTATATTCCTTTTGTTGGTGTATTTGTATTTTCTACTATTCTCTTCATCTGGGTCCACGATTGCCCATAATCTCTCATCTCCTCTTCCTAACACGATCTCCTCCATGTCACCCTAGGAATTCCTGTTGCTAATTCTTTCTGGCCGACTGGCCATTTGATCTTCACTATGAAGCCAGAGAAGGCAGCTGTTGATGAAAGGCTGCTGTGACTTGTTGGAAATCCTTTTCGTGACACACACGCCAAGTTTATGACCCGTATAGAAGAACCGACTTGACATTGGTGCTGAAAATACTAATCTTGTTCTGTATACTGGCTGAATGCAGAAGATTTCCAAATTGGTTTCAGGTTGATGAAGGTGTATCTTGCCTTCCTGATTCTGACTCGCTTTTATATCTTCATCCGTTCCTCCTGTAGTTGAAACAATGCTTCCTAGATAAGTGAAGGAAGTAACTTCTGTCAAATCTCTCCCGTTGATGGTGATTGGGCTGGTTGTTGTTGCTGTTGGTGATGGTTGGTAATCTTCATCACCTCCGTCTTCTCTATGTTCACCTGAAGTCCTGTCTTCGCTGCATGCTTCTTCAGCTCGTTTGTTGGTTTTCGCCTGCAAATCTTCGAGTATGTGTGACATTTGACATATATCATCTGCGAAATCCAGATCTTTTAGAGATTTTTTATCAGTGGTCCAGCGTATTCCTGTTTCCTCGCTCCCTCTGCACAGTCTGGCGCATAATCCAGTCCACCACAATTAAGAATATCATCCTTGGTGAAAATAGACAGCCAGCTTGTCTTACTCCTGTATGCACTTCGAACGCCTCTCTGAGTTTTCCGTTGTGGATCACCTGACACGTGGCATTGTCATATAGCTGTTGAGTGAGTTATTAAACGTTTGGGGCACTGCATGCCATAGTGTTGAAGCAGTTTTCAAATTACTTCTCGGTCAACAGTGTCGAAGGCCTTTTCGAAGTCGATGAAAGAGGTTGAGGTAGAGTTTTAACTGCCATTGTATCCTTTGTTCTGTGATGACGGTGCGTGGCGTTGCAATTTGATCAGCAAATGATTTACCTTTCCTGAATGCATTTTGTTCCGGTGGGGCTGGCGGAGTGCATCTTTTATTCTTTCCAGGATGGTGCGACTTTGGATTTTACTTGGAGTGAACAACAGCTTTATCCCACGCTGGTTCTTGCAGACTGAGGCGTAATTCGCCCTTTTTCGGCAGCTTGACGAGGTAGCCAGCGTTTCTTCCAATGGGCAAGTACCTTTCATTCCTTCCAAACCGTTTGCAATAATGGCATCAGCATATCTGCTGCAGTCCGTGAGGCCATTTTCAGTGCTTCAGGGGGGAATTCCTTCTGGTCCTGCTGCCTTCCTGGACTTCAGTAGCTTGATCTTACTCAGGATCTTTGCTTTTGTTGTAGGATCGGTGTCCACTGGCAGGTATTTCTGTGCGTGCTGTTGATGGTGGTGGTGTTATTTCTGGACGAGTTGCAAGTGATGGTTGATTCAAGAGTCCTTTGGACTGATCAGCCCATTGTTTGATTTGTTTCTTCTCCTTGGTAATCAGGTTCCCTTGAGCATCTCTTAGTGATTTCATCATCTGAGTTGATCTCTTCCCTGATAGAGACCTGGTTATCTGCTATAATGTCCTTAGGTCTCTTTTACCTGGAGCCTGCCTGTTCTGCTTCAGTTGCCAGCCAGTGTGTCACAGAATTGTCTTTCATCTCTCCTAGCACTCTTCTTCACGTCTTTCTTGAATCGGTGCAGTGTACATTGAACTCAGCTTCTCCTTCTGTTGTCCATCTTTGCATTGAGTCATCACTTTCACCATTCTCCTCTCCTCTCTTCTATTAGCTTCCAGGTAGGTGTCCGTTGATAGCTATTCCTTGTCTTGTCTCCTTTTTTCCTATAGCAGTTGAACACGTTTCCTTGAATATTGCCTTCATAGAAATCCAATGTTGTTCCACATGTAGTGTGTCAGACTTTGCTCTGATCTGATCGATAGTGAAAGCATCCCTTGTAGTTTTGTCCCTCAGTTTCTGAATGTTGGACTTGAATTACAGTGGCCTGACCCAAGTTGTTTTGACTGATTTTAGCTCCATCTTGAAGGTTCCTTGAACTAGATGTTGGTGTGAGTCCGCCCGCATCTGTTCCCCTTCTTGACTTTGTGTCCAGTAGGCTGCGTCTCCACTTCCTTGAATAGTATTGAGATGAAGTCTATCTGGTTTGTGGTGTGTCCGTCAAGCGAAATCCATGTTGCTTTGTCTATATCCTAGTGTTTGTACACACTGCTTCCGAAGTCTGTGAAGGGTTCTCCGTTCCCATTCATTTCGCTGAGCGAGAGCCTCTTGACCCATGATGAGTCCTCTTCCTGTATTGTCTGCTCTCAGCTCAACTTGCATTCATATCACCCATGAGGATTTTGGTGTCGCCATTCGGGAAATTGTCAATCATTATTTGCAAGTGTCTATGAAAATCTTCCTTCTTCTCTTGTTCAGCGTTGTTTGTAGCACTGCGCTAAGCATTGGATAATTGTAACGTACCTTCCTTTTGAGCTGAAGCTTGCTGTCATGATCCTGGATGAAATTGGTTCCCACTGCATTAGGGCTTTGGCTGCCACTGGTGACATCATGATAGCCACTCACTGCCTCAGTGTGTTCGTGGTTGTCGTCTGGGTGACCAGACCGGAGTAGATGACTGGCTCTCCAGTTGACAATGTTGACGGGGGGACGAGTGTGGTGAGAGCTGGCTGCCAGCCAAAGTTGGTAGACAGTAATTGACGTCAGTGTTTATGTCCCCAATATTGGTGGTGAGAAAATGAGAACAAAGGCTTTGCGTAGGCGGATGCAGTTAGCATATAGATGATCTGACACAGCCGCAAAGAGATGCAAGGTTAACTTTCTGTGAGAAACAAAAGATTGTATTTTCTACTAACAATAATCTACAATAATGTACATTAAAATCTATAAATATGTGTTGATTTTCCTTAATAAACGATCTGTTGCCTAGCCCTTGTCTTCTGTTGTTACACCACTACCTTTCTCGATGAGCAAGCAATATTAACTGAATTATGGTTTGGCTAGAAAAGAGTCGGTCTGACTTCAGCATGCCACTGATTCATGAAGTGACTGAACACTTGTGTGAGCTATGCAGAGGATGGTGTAGATTGTTTTTATGAAGTTCTTGGGATGCTATGCACCAATGTTTATAGACTTGGAGCTATGGCTTAAAATCATCTGTAACCGCATAGATATATGTACACTATATCAGATTATAAAAAGCTTTATTAATATTGATTTGATCACTGTCTTTTCTATACATCTGTATCCACAGTATTTTTATTACATTTCCTTTTCGTGCTTTTGATGTGTGGTTTTTCGCAGTAGTGCAGTGTGAACTGATATACATTTCCAGTTACTTCAGTAAAATAAATAGTGCAAAATAGTAGTCTTCGTTGACAGGATTTGTTATAAGGGAATCAAATTGCATTTCTATCTGATTTTTTTTGTCATTTATGATGTGTACTGTTGATTACAATACAATACGAATGTACAATACAAAGTTAAATCTGTACGAACTAACAAAATCTTTGTCGTGCATATGTGTATTACACTCCCACTGGTTTTACAATATGATGCATACGTCTGGTGTCTTCCAGACTTATTTATTCGGTATCCTAATGTAGGTAACACACATTTACTTTGTGAAATCCAGTAGTGTTACCTAACCTCCGAATTCTTTGTAGGTATGGGGTAGGGGTTTAGAAATTATAAGATAATACAGTGCCTTGGATAATGTGTGCACTGGCATACAAATAATAATTCAGGCTTAAAATACTTTTCTTTTTTGATTTCCCGTTTTTCGAATGCGTCTCGTTTTTTAAAAATTTCTTTTATCATTATCCAAGAGTATGTCTGCATGTCTGATTGATTGTTTGAATAAACCCTTTTTTTTGTTTTAAATGCATATTTACCAGTGTTTTCTCACATTGGGATGTAGTACTTTTTAATATTGGCCGGAAGTGTATTCTGGGAATTAACCACAATCTCTGCCTTCATTTAAGACATCAATCAGTATCCCATTGGTTATGAAACCGTAACCGATTATCGTAGGTGACTGTTGTTTTCTTCCCCACCAGTAGATGACGAGTTCAAATAGTTTCCCACCTAACAAGCGCTTTTTGTGACTTTTAAAAAAACTAGTGTAACTGATAGCTTGCTGGAAAAAAACACACAACAACCTGAAATATGACCATTGAATTGCAGTTAATTGTTTCTTTTCCTTCTTAGGGTACTTTACAACTTGTCTCGTTTCGATTACCTTGTAAAGAGTGCCATGAAGCGTGTAACATAAAGGCATACGATAAGCTGGGAAGTTGCCTAATCGCATCTTATTTATGTCTATCCATCTGCCTGATATTTCTGCGTCTCCTTTCTTTTTCCCCAGTCTAATTGAACACTTCTTTTTGTATTATTTTCTCTTTTGATTTATCTCTAATACAGAATCTTCTACGCATCACGTTAGCAGTTATTGAACAAGCTGATTATCATTTACAGTCTCTATGTGCATTGAAAGGCTTACAGACAGAAAAGGTTCTTGACGTGGATAGTTGGTGTGGACCAGCTGTACCAGTTGGAGTGTTTACAAGGCAGTATAGTGTTCAGTTGGTGAATTCATTGAAGTGAAAGCAAAGAAGGAAAAATGAAAAGAATGACCAGTATTACTTACATACTTTCTTTAAACAAAGAAAAAGGAATTCTTGTATATTTTTTGTTTAAAATATTTGTATTCTTCGTTTTTTATTTGTGTTCTAGGTGAATATATAATGTAAAAACTTTATGAATAGGAATTTCACTATCTGTTCTAAGAATGATTTCACAGATGAACTTGAATATCCATCCCGTCAGGAAACGCCAGTTAGACTCAACTGTACCTGCAATGTGAGAATTAAAAGAAAAATCAAAAGAATCCATTAATATAGACAAAATTTATCTAGTTAGAAGCGTTCCAAATTTAAACCATAAATTTCCTGTGAATACGTTTATTTCATAGGGCACACGAACACACAGAGTGGAACAACACAATTTAACTGCTCATTATCATATGAATACATTCACACAACTTGAAAGCCTGGCACCCTCTTGTTTCCCTTGACACTTTTCCACGATTAATGACAAATAGAAAGGGGTAAGCCAATGTAAAGCAAGTTAGGAAGACGTGCTTAAAACGTCATCCAGTTATTAATTCTACACCGCGGATTGTTATATCAGATAGACTTATCTAATTTAGAATTTCAGTCTATCACAGTGCCCGAATTCTACTCTTATATTGAAGATTTTCTTATAAGCCAAAAAACACATGAATGTTCGTTGATAAAAAAAGACAATGACGTAGTCGCGGCGTATGAATGTCAAACGCAGTGTTACTAAGGTAACTATAAATCAAATAGGAATCAGATAAGGACAAAAAAAAATTAAGTTTTTCATATTTTCTTCGAAAAGAGTGAATGTCAATTTCCAGGTATAAGAGGAAGTAATACTCCTTTGCTATTCAGTGCACGAGTTATATTTTACCCACCGAATATTGGCGTATTTAGTAATTTAGAGTAGGTGTAGAGCTGCTTAACTAACTGTCACAAAAGATTCTGTCAGCATAGTTCGGTATAAACTAGGTGATCAGTTGAATCTCTGAAACATGTTGCAAGGTGTATTTCTTTAACTTATTTTCCTTTATAAACTGTTGCACAGATAACTATGAGATGTATTCACCATTGTAGAGTAAAGCCTTCCTTATATCGTGAACAATATCCATTAGGATATTCCACATGAAGCAACAAACAGCCGAGCGAATTTATCGTCTCTACGATTTCACTCACAGAAAAGTTGTACTGTACAATCACATTCGCATACATAAGTTTACATATTTACAATTATTATTTAATTCAGCGTAATAACGAAAGAGATTAGAGAAGATAATAATTTTCAACTAGATATAAAAATTGAAGGTTAGTGAATACAGATCACAGGGGGCATTGAAACAAAATTACATAGAATTGGAAATTAGTTGCGTAATATGTAAAGTAATTTTTCACAAATGCAGGTGTGAACGTGATGTGCATAGAAGCAAATTGAAATAATAGCTTTTTTATATAACTGAATATGGAGAAAGGGAGGGAATGAAAAAACAAACAAACAAAAACCAAAGAGTCAAACAGAAGTAGATCCATGGTAAATGCAGAGGTTGGACTAGTTCCTTTTGGACATAATAGCTCCGGCTATTCGATGCATATGGTGACGGCTTCTGCAGTAAAAAGCATTGTAAACACATTACCTCTGGTAGATTTTTGCTCACTGTGTAAATGACTCTGAATAGTGAGTCAGTTGAGATGCTGTGACAAGTGCTGACTAGGTGTTTAATTATAGCGCTTCTGATTTAGGCAGTGCCGTCTGTTTGCAGCCATTCTGGATGGTTTTCTCTAGCACATTTTGAAAGGACGCGCCTACAACAACCGATTTACCCAGCTCCACAGGAGTAGGAGAGCTGATGCATGCATATGGGAGTGGTCTTATGCGGGAGTGTATTCTTCACAATGCTCAGAAGCAGTGGGTGGCTAGAGAATATCACTCGTAGTGTCTCTGAAAGAAAGGTCTTCTTTAGGAAAGTAGAGGTTCTCCTCTTTAGGATATCTGCCGATAAGTCTCCCCTGAAGTCCAGATTCAAATGCGGCATTTCCTTTCGCGCTGAACTGCTTGCGTTCGTCTTTTCTGAGTTACAGTTTCATGTTCTTCTCTACAAAACGTGGTGGGTATACAACTTCTGCATTTACCATGGATCTACTTCTGTTTGACTCTTTGGTTTTCGTTTTTTCATTCCCTTCCTTTCTCCATATTCAGTTATATAAAAAAGCTATTATTTCAATTTGCTTCTATGCACATCACGTTCACACCTGCATTTGTTAAAAATTACTTTACATATTACGCAACTAATTTCCAATTCTATGTAATTTTGTTTCAATGTCCCCTGTGATCTGTATTCACTCACACCTTCAATTTTTATATCTAGTTGAAAATTATTATCTTCTCTAATCTCTTTCGTTATTACGCTGAATTAAATAATAATTGTAAATATGTAAACTTATGTATGCAAATGTGATTGTACAGTACAACTTTTCTATGGGTGAAATCACAGGAGATTACTCGTATCTTAATCTTTTCGAAAATACTTTTACCTGTGATGATTGTCATATAAAATGGACATATTTTCAAAAATGTATTTCATTCATTAGTTTGAACTAGTTGTGAGTGTGTAACTGTGTAGTGTAAAGGTGTTACCTGTTTCTGTCATGCAGTAAACTTGCAGTCGCTGATGCGTTGGTGATGTAGGTTATCTTAATCATGGAATTTAGTTTTGTTCCTGAGTATTTTATGTATATATATATAGTCGCTGCATCCTAGCACCCTGATAGTGAAATCCAAGGTAAGGAGCCAGTGTCACTAGCCAACAACCGGCTACATTATCATCACAGACTCAGAAGAAGAAACAGTCTTCGGTAAATTTGTCTTCACAAGTTTTGCATCAGCCAAGAAATGAACACTTTGACCACAGAGATGACACGAAGCACTTAGTGATTCATTTTGTAAGGCAGAGTAAATAGGAAGCTATCATGTGATTAGAGTAGTTGTATGTGCGACAAACAGGTGAATAAGATTAGCCTTCAGGATAAGTTTATAGAAATCACAGCAGTAGTTCATTAACAAAACCAGCATATAAAACTGAAGGAGTAATTTAGTACTTTGACTGTCGATGATGGGTTTTTAAAAAAAACTTTTTTTTGTTTCACTGACTTTCTGTCCTATTTCATATTTTTAAATCGGTATCGCTTTTCACTGACATTGTGGATTGTCATCTATACTGGTAGAGAAACTTTTTCAATAAGTGCAATACTGCGCATAGTTATTTAACATTGAATATTGTTTAGAATACATTGATGTTTCTTAATAGTTAAATTATTTCAACAAGGAATAGTTTAGAATTATTCAAATAAGCAGGTAATTATCAGTGAAAATAATAAAAATAATGATACAATTTTCTGTTCAATATCATGAAATTCATTAGAGTTGAAAGATTTCATCAGATCGCGTTGATTCAGTCAGTCAAGATATTAGAAAAAAAGTCTTTTACTGACAAACGTCTCTTTTGAGGTAAGTAAAAAAAAAGGAAGTGAGACAGCTTGACAGCGTATCAGGATATACAGTTGTTGTATTTCTTAAAGTTAGCTTATTCCCGGCTAATGATAATGGAAAGTCAAGTCTAAATTTTTTAGTGATGGTACTGATATTGTGCTATGAAATTAATGTGAATCTCAATGTAGCTTTCGTTATGAACTGATATCATTTAGAAAATGATTGAAAAACATTCAGAAGTGCACATGCATGATTCCACCAGGGGTCGAAATTATCACTTTCAGCTTATGACGTAACTATAACTTCCATTAATCTGCAATGTACTACTACCACCAACCTTGATTTCAATGTTCCTATGACTGATGTCAGCATGTAATGAAGCGAAAATCTAACATCGTTTCGATTCTATTATCCAATGTTTGGCAAACCAGAAATCTAAGTATGTTATTATTACTGCTTCCTTTAATTCCTAGAGGAACATAGGGCTTCAGCCGTGCGTCTCCATTGCGTTCGGTTTTCTACTAGAGTTTTCACCTGGCTCACACTTTTTCATCTCCTCTTCACATGACCTCCTCCAAGTCACCCTTGGACGACCAACTCGCCGCTTCCCTTTCGGGTTCCACTCAAGGGCTTATCTAGTGATGTCACTTGATGGCCAACCTATCTCCATTTCTTCCTGCCTATTTGTTTCACAATCGGTTTCTGGTTGGTCCGCTCCCAGAGATCTCTATTGCTGATCTTTTTCGGCCATCTGATCTTGAGTACTGAGCGAAGAAAACTGTTAATGAAGGTCTGTAGTTTGTTTGAGATGCTCTTTATGACGCGCAGTGCAAGTCTCTGATCCGTATAGTAGCACTGACTGACTTCACATTGGAGTTGAAAATCCGGATCTTATTTTTGATGCTGAGTGTTGTTGACCTCCACACAGACTTGAGAGTAGTGAAAGCTTGTCTTGCTTTTCCGATCCTTGCTTTGATATCCTCGTCAGTTCCGCTGGCCTGTAGTTGAAACGACGCTTCCCAGGTAGGTAAAAGAGGTTGTTTCTTTCAGGTTCCTCCCATTTATGCTGATTGTTGTCCGTTGTTGTTATTGTTGTTGCTGTTGGTGGTGTTGCCCAGGAATCTTCATCACCTCTGTTTTCTCTATGTTCACCTGAAGTCCTATCTTCGATGCTTCTTCTGCCAACTTGTTGCTTTTCGCTTGCATATCTTCCAGTTTGTGGGAAATCAGACATATATCATTGGCTAAGTCCAGATCCTCCAAGTTTTTTGTGTGAGTCCATTTTATGCCTGTCTCCTCATTGCCAGCTGTTTGTCGCATTATCCAATCTACTGCAATCAGGAAAATCATTGGCGATAGTAGGCAGCCTTATCTTACTCCTGCCCTCACTTCGAAGGATTCCGTAAGTTTCCCGTTGTGGATTGCTTGGCATGCAGCATTGTCGTACAGCTGTTGGATGAGATGTATAACTGTCGGTGGCACCCCGTAGTAGTAAAGTAGTTTCCAAATCACCTCTCGATCGACGCTGTCGAATGCCTTTTCAAAGTCGATGAAGTTGAGATAGAGAGGTGACTGCCATTCCAAGCTTTGTTTTAAGTATGGATTTTCAGAATCTATAGTTATTGACAAAATCTCG